CTCACTCACGCGCGCGCGCGCGAGACTTGTGGACGTGTGGAGCGTCGGAAGGAACGATGTCCACCATCCCGAATGACTTCGTATGTGAGGTCACTCAGGCGGCGAAGAACCTTGGGCCGAAATACTTTCGGAAAAGTTTTTCACTGAGCACTCGACGTCGGATATGGGTCCAAACCCACACTTCATCGAAACGGGCAGGGGTGGGGATTGAACCCAGGATAGAGTGTACTACCGAGGATCCTGGGGGGCTATGTTGCACGTTTTGGACTTCCAGGAGACTAGAAAGAAGGAAATGAAGTCAACAAAGCTCTTTGGATGTTGACTGGTGGAGTCGCTGATGACGCGTTGCGTGGTGCTGCTAAGATACGTTCATTCACACCTACGTCGCTTCCTTCTCCCTAGTCTCCTGGGAGTCCAAAACGTGCAACATAGCCGCCCTGGGTTCTGCAACGCAAGCTTTCGCTCCACATGCTCCGAGCTGGTGTGCGCTAGACCACTCGGCCAGCGATCCCCCCGAAAAAAAAAAAAAAAAAAAAAAGTCATTTGCTGGCTGGTATGAGGTTATGCAAAAACTGGCACGATCAATTACAGCTCGTGCTGGGTGACCATTCCTCGAACTGGCGCTCGTGCTTCGCCATGACGTCAACAACTCGCGGCACCGGCGGCACCGCGGTAATGGCCGCCGAGGCAGCGGTCACGCAGCCGCCGGCGCCCAACCTCAAGCCGGCCATCAAGGCCAAGCCCGCGACAGTGGCCTTATCACCCGTGCTGGAGTCGGCCGCTAAGCTCCTGCCTCGCTTGCGGAGTGTCACAGGAGCTGCTGCTCCACCTTCCTCAATCGTCTGTCTCAAAGACACCATCGTCCAGTTCATCTTGCTCGAGGCTGAAGACCTGGACACTCCAGACACCAGGCCAAGCTGCGATCCGTACGTCGTCTTCAAGATCGGCGATGAGAGCTACCAAAGCCAGGCAAGTGACCGCGAGTCTTGATTCTTGCCGTTGATTTTGGTCTGTTGGCCTGGTGGCCTAATAACTGCCGCTAGCGTAATTGCTTTTGTGCTGGCGATTTTACACCACCGACCACCTATTACTTGAAGCGAGCAAGTAGAGAGTGTTATTTCCCATCCCTCTGAAATTATACCGCGTGGTAGACCTGCATATAGTATATTAACCACACCGGTCATAGCCTTCACTGACATGAGTTCATAGTGATGAATGCTGATGCTCAACTTCCTGTATTCTGTGACTGCACATAGACGTGACTGTGTGTGCTTCACAAGGAACAGAACAGGATGCGATGGCAACTGGTAGCCTCAATATCTTCACGTGTGTCAAGACGTCCTTCGCTGAATTAAGCACTTCGAACGAGCTTTAAAATATCAATACACATAAAAACGCTCTTTGACCGCTTTTTTGTCTAATGAAAAGACAAGCAGAACGATTACCTGTATGCATACAGTCAAATAATTCAACATTTTCGAACAACATATAAGGGGCAATAACACGCACACCAGTCACACCTAAGGAGCCAGCCGAATTTCAACACTTTCTTGATACCTCCAATTGCACTTTCTTTATAAGGCATCTGGATTGCTGTGTATTGTTGCGTACGATTGAGGTCGGATATAATAGCAGACTACTTTATGTCTTCTATCAAGCGCGTAATCAAAACGTTGAGACCAGGTCGTGTTGCTTTCTTGTGCTTGCAGGTTATGCACGACACAAGTGACCCTGAGTGGTACGAAATCTTCGACATCTTCGTGGCGAAGGGAGGGCCCATGGCCCTGCTCGTGATGGTTATGAACAATGACCGCCTGGCAACTACGGAGTTCTTCGGAAGGCATGTGCTCAGTCCTGCTATTCCCTTAGTAAGCCCCCCCCCCCCCCCCAAAAAAAAAAAAAAACACAATAAGATCACTTACTTATAAGAACTTAAAATTCGACATTTTCACGAGGCAGAAACATTTATCAGAAGAGGGGTTGCCTGCTTGTCGTGTTCATTTCACCCCACCTGTCTTGGTAATGGTGACAATTCTTAAAAAAAGGACTTGAAGATCGTCTAAGTTTCCTGTTGCCTGACGACGCAACCGTCGTTTTTAGACAATGGACGCCTCCAAATATACCAAACACTTCAGGTTTGAAGTGATGCAGCCCTCCCGACCTAAGAGAAAACACTAAGTGATAACAAATGTCAGAGGATTTCCCGCGTAATGCTACAAAATGTCGCTATTCCGTGAAGAAAAATTGTACTAGCGCATCCAACGAGGACAAGCGTAAGTGGACGTTGCTATATGGTACACGGCGTCCCAACCCGAAGCTGTCAAAGTTTCCGTCAACTGGTCGGCTACAAAGCGAACTACAGCAGAGCCCGCGTCTGGCGTATACAAAACCTCCCCTGCTGTGCTTCCACCAGGGTCGTAGCGATCCGTAGCGTTTCCGAGTAGCGACGTCCCCAATGGATATCGGGGGAACAAAATAACGCGGCAGGAATCGGATACGGCCTCAAGCAACATTGGCGGTTGCCACTTATTTGCGACCACCGGTGTTTGTCTTTCTAGACTTATGCTAGGTGGCGCAAGCGACCGCCCGTTACAAAAGGTATGGCCATTACTATCCATCCATCCATTCATGGCCACGAAGAATTTGTTTAGATCCGAGCCCTCGACGAACGATGACGCAGAGCTCGTTTCCGGTACAAGCTGTGCTGAGTCAACACCGCCTAGAGAATTAATCAAAGCCTGCGCACTAGAATTTTGACGTCATCGCAGTGAGATCGAAGGCAGACGCAGATTGGACACGAGCAATGCGTCATTGTTCGGCCGGGACTCGTGTCCAATCAACGCGTCGAAAAACGCTCGGCGTCGGGCTCGGGCCCAATCGCCAAGTTGACGCCATCCGACTGTGATGAGGTTCCGTGGAGAAAGAAGAGGACGTTCGCAGGCCTTGAAGGGAAATTAAAACGGTGATGTATGTGAAAAAACAGACAAACACTTAAATCGTTTTTATTTGGCCTCCAGGACTACGAATATCAAAATTATATGTCAGATGGATGCGCCAAGTATAGCCAAGACAGCACTTTTTCGAAATAGCGCTGAAGCCCCTCCTCCCCGGCGCGTTCGGTGGGAGGAGGGAATCGTGACATGTTATACAGAGACCTCGACATTTCCGCGCCTTTCGCAAACATTTCCCCGAGCAGTCGAAAACGCTGCACATGTTCCCTCGAAAGCGGCAAGCGCAAGGCTGTTGAAACCTCTCGGTATGACGTCACACCCAGCAGTAGGTTTTTTCACTTTATCTCGCGTCTATTGGCGAAAAAGAAAATACTGTGTTTGTGCGTATCCAGCCTGAACTTAGTCTGCCTTAACGGGCGACTTGTCTCTCAGCTGTAGATCAGCAATTTAGCCAGCGCGGTACAACCGCTAGCCTGGGGTCTTTAACGTGCACCGCGCAGTGGTGATGCACGACAGCACGCCGATGCTCCTCCAGATCGAAAGCGGGCAAAAGGTGGGGATTGCACCCAGGATCCCTGGTTTCTGCAGCCCGAGTTTTCGCTCCAGGTTCTCCGAGCTACTCCCCATAGGCAGAGCCGTGCATACAGAGAGTTTGGTCAATGGGAGGCGCGGGCAGAGCCAGGGCGTGCACCAGACGCAGAAAGTGGGCTTGACAAGCACTCTTGGCCAACCAGAAGCCTAAAGGAATCCCCCAGCGGTGGTAACGAGAAACTGTTTAATGAAAGGTATATGTTGGTATATGGCTTTAATAAGCGCATAAGAGTGAAGTGTAGTAACCCTTCATGGTTGAAAATAGGGTGCACGTGATGTTTCGATTATGATCATGCAAAAGGTTGTAAGAAACGAATGCGCCGCTCAACTCTGTTTTGCTCGGACAGAATGTTGACCGCTTGGATGGCAGATTCCCGGCCCTCTTCGCTTGGCGTACGGATTATGTCGATCGTTCCTCGAGTCACACATTTCCACCATGATTTCGGATGACCGCGATTGAAACATAACGTGCACCATATCTTAAATCACCGAGAGTTACTGCAAAGCACATATTCAGTTCGTTTCTCTCGACCGCCGCCAGGCCAATGTCTCCGGCTTCTGGGTGGCCACATTCGAACTTGTGAAGACGCCTTGGAACACGCCCAGCCCACTCTCAGCCAATGGCGCCTCCTCATTTATGGCCAAACTTTCTTCATATACGGCTCTGCCTATAGGTGAATACCCCTATAGGGAGTATTTACTAGACGCCATATTTGTGGGTGCTATTTAGAGTGCATACTCAGAACGAGCTCATTATATTAGTCTTATAAGCATGTAAACCTTGATGGTGTGTAATTGCTCGTTGCAAAAGAACTGTGGAAGCTCGCCATCAGCACGCGCTCAGCAGTCGCGCACACAACTATGGCCGCTAGTGAATACTCCCTATTGATATGTTTGGGTCAAATATTTGTGATATCTAAATTCGTGGTACAAAAATACGATAAATTTTACCACTTACTCGTTAAAAAAAAAAAAAAACATTTATTTTTATTTTTTTATTATTATTCTAGCGATGGGGGGGGGGGGGGGGGGGGGGGGGGGTTGGTCAAGTTCACACCGAAGGCAGACGCAGCCCTCGTACCAAATGCGGAGCGCTATTTCGTCTGCTTCGTTTGCAGGGGTTGTGGTGACTTCAGAACGCCAAGCTTTGATTGGCTCTGATGGAAGGATAGTGGGTAGACGTCAAGGCACGTTGCTTGGAGGTCTACTCACTATCCTTCAACCAGAGCCAATCAGAGCTCGACGTTCTGACGTCACCACGATTCCTGCAAACGAAGCAGACGAACCTGCGCTTCGCTTACAGCGTGCCCAAACAATGGCGTGCTCGGAAAACTGGCATAGCCGCTTCTAGACATGGCGCGCACTTTTGAAAGCGGTCTATTCAGGCATCGTAGCCTGACTTCCTCCGGAATCAACCTTCCGACAGGTTCCTGATCAACTTGAGGAAGTACGAGTACGGCATCACTTACGAGGTGCAGCAGGAACTAGAAAACAACGCCGGGAAACTCTTCTTCCGGATGGTCATCCAGGAGGCGAGCACCATCGACTCAAAGGAGATCCTGGAGCTGCCGTCCCGGCGTACCCTCAAGTACACGCGACAGAGGCTCCACAAGAAATACGTAAGCTTCGTTCACCTTAGTGGTCAGTCGTGTTCTGCGTGTCCCCAACAAAAATGTACAGTTCTTTTTTTTCGCCACAAAAATAAAGTGCGTTTTACCGAACGCCCAGTTTCCGACCAAAGGTAGAACGAGCGGTCCACGCCAGAGGCCAAAGTTTCAGGACTAATCGCTATATTATTCAAAAATTATCAGCAATTTTTTTTTTCAATTTTTAAAGGTAAAATGGTGTCCGTTCTTAGCAGCTTGCGCCATTCAGTCCCATATGTATTCGTGAGATTTGTTGACCACCATTTTGCAAGTGAAAATTTTACCATTCATTATTGAGCAGGGAAAAGTATTTCTTTTGTGATGTGTCAAACTGGCTAATTAACTCAGAGGACTTGGACAACTTTTAAGCATTAATTTGTGCGTAAACCCTCCAGTACAAAAGCTGGAGACCGTGCTGATAAATATCCCATCGTGTTGTTTCCATCAAGGTGCGTTAAAATTTTACTTAAGAAAGAAAGATACGCGCTAAGTTAAAAAAGAGAAATAGCTAATTTTTATTAGAACAATCTTTTTGTAGTGTCAGAGGTCATACCCACCGTGACCTTTCGAAGTGTTTCGAGCTGTAAAATAGTGGATTAGTGGGCCACTTGATGATAGATCGGCGTAATGAAAAACGACGCAAAATTCACGGGACAAAGTCAGACAAAGGAACGGGACAAACGCGCGTCCTGTGCATTTCTCTGTCTTTATTTGTGCAGTCCATCTTGCGTTTCTTTTTTTTTTTTTATGCACAACATGTTTTATTATGCCTGAATTTCGGAAAAGAACTGTCACGTCGATTTCTCCACTGAATTTAGCGGGAAAATTGGTGTCACTTACGCTTATTTCCCCTTAAATTCCGCAGGGAAATTGACATCACGTGACCTCGAGTAAACTGACGTCAATTTCTGCAAGGTGCTATAGTCTGCGCTGAACTGCTCCCCGGTCTTTGTCAGCATGATCAAGCTTGTGTATTTCCTTTTCATTGACCTCCGCGTGAAGTTGTTGACTTCCCTTCACTTTATTACCTTAAAGCCCCCCATCGGGGGTACTACATAAGTGGTCGGATGTACAAATAAACAATCGGGAAAAGTGAAACAGGAATTCACTATTGTAAATTAATGGTGACACTTGCTATAAAACTTGATGGGCAAGTGATGGCAGCGATGTTGTAGGAAAGCTCGTTCTAGTCTTTGGTTGCGCGAAAAAAAAAGTGAGACAGAAGAAGTGATGGTGCAGGACCTAGAGCAGATGTCCGGTGCGCTGGGACCTTCACGCTTGGGGTACAATGTAAGGTGTTACCTCAAGCGGAGAGCAGAAGAACTTGTGAAATAGAGAGAGAGCTTGGAAATGCGGTGACGATAGGAAAGAGTTAGCAAACATGATTCAACTTTTAGGAACGATGCAATGACATCGTATGAAGAGCAAATTAATCTGGTGGCGCGATTTTGGAGTGCTTCAAATGCGTTGATAAGACAAACATTGTGTGGACTCCGGATTGCGGATGCGTATTCAAGTCTGGGTCTGATAAGCGATTTACAGGCGAGTAATTTTACGTGTCGCGGTGCGTGACGTAGGTGACATTTTAAAAGTCCCAGGGATCTGTTTCCAAAGGAAATGATGTTAGTAGTATGCGTGCGCCATGGTAGATCGTTGCAGAGGTTGACACCGGGGTACTTATATGACTCAACCAGTTCAATGGTAACGTTAGAGTAATTCTTGAGTTCAGTTTAAGACGTATATTTTAGGTTGAACTGTGTTAGTTTATATATAAATGGTTTATGAAGTATCTTGTCAAATGTTTCACGAAGTCAAAAAAAAAGGCGTCAGTTTGTATGTTATTGTCGAGATTGGTATGCAGATCATGAAGAAATAAGGCAAGCTGGGTTTCAGAAGAGAAGCTCTTGCGAAATCCGTGTTGCGAAGAATTGAAGAAATCGTTATTGAGGAATGAATATTAAAAATGTTCCCGCTTTCGGTGTGAGTACCTGCCTCACCGGATTCCTTAGTAAGGTTGATAGCGAGCGTATGCTCAGGGTTTATTGTCTTCCAGAACTTTTTATTGTTCTGAATTAAAATCCTAGGTAAGTCAACGTGAAAAAAAGGGATTGGCGTTACGGATTGCAGCTAGATAAGCATCATCAGCGTTGTAGTAGTTTTACCATTCATTTGTGTTGCCCTTTAGCCTGGCTGAGCGGAAAGATTTTTTTCTTGTTTTTTTTTTCCCTAGCCTTTTGAGAGTTTAAGCGAATCATGGTTTTTGGCGATTCGCACGAAAGCTGAATTTTTGGGATGAATTTTTCAGCCAGCGCGTTTATTTTGTTTTTGAAAATAGACCAGTCATCATGAATTGATCGATTGTGAAATGTCGGCTTCGAAACATGGAATAAAGTTGATCAGCTCATTATTAATAGTATCATAGTTTGTTTGTTTTGTAAAGACGAGTAGTCTTTTGTTTGTTTTGCATATTAACGGTGTAAACTCAAAAACAGCGTGAATAACTTTCTGGTCACTCATTTTTCGAAGCTTGTGTCGCCCGCTATTCTCACTACGTGCAGGCAGCATGGAACGTCCAAGGTGACCTGACGGACATAGGAGTAGCCCTCATCTCTGGTACGTGCGTGTCCGCGTTCACACAACATCGTCGTGAGTTGACTTACCGAAGGGAGCCGACATTGTCGATAGCATGTAAACAGAACTCAATCGACTTCCGAGATTTTGGGGTTAGTTCCGGCACACCGGTTTCATTTCCGGAAAGTGTAAACTAACGTCGTCTAACCTTAACACGCGAAACTAACCGCAAAGGCTACGAGCGCTAGAGCTCCGATCGGAGTGCGAGTTCGTACACTTTTCCTACTACTGCCCTCGCCACACGAACAAACGACGCGCGGTCAAAAAAGCAAGGAGAGCTTTCGGTTGGTTCACGTTTACGATGTCGAGTATACAACTTTTCTCGCGTTCCAGGATTCGGCTCCTATAAAACCACTTCGTGCAAACGAGCTTCCGTAACGCAAGAGCGTTACGCAAGTGCTGCGTCTCTGCGGTTGCAGCCCGACTGGAGACGAGTCCGAGCCGAGCCTCGACGCACCATTCGCGCTCAGTTCGTGCATCGCGCTGGCCTCCTTGATGAGGGTGACGTAGAAAACCCAGCACTCATACGGCCTTCTCATGTAGGAGATGCGGACTACAGGGACCACGGTGTTGACGGGCGAGGAAATTAGTTCGAACTTAACTGTTCTCCAATTCACTTTAAGTCCGACCTCCGCCAACACTACAATCCGATGACGTCAATCAGGCAGCATCAAATGTACATCATCACACGGCGCTAGTCGCGTTTTTGTGGGGTTTGTTCTCACCCGCTAAATCAATCACGCGCACAGAAAGAAGAAAAACAAATATTTTTTCGGGATTATCGAGTTTGGAACACGTTAGTAGCGGACGGCTCAAAAGAAGTGGGCGCGCGCTGTCGTCGCCCAGTCGGTGTGTCGTGTCAGAATGACGTCACTCCGAGCGTTGCGTGTCATTATTTCACAAAGCGTACGTGTAATTCTTTTTTTTTTTTTTTTTTTTTTTTTTTTTGCGCGCAGTGCACCGAGCCTCGAGCATCGCACAGCCGTACCTCGAAGCTGGCCTGGAGGCCGTCTGTTGCGTCGAGATAACTCCGAAGCTGCTGTGGCAGAAAGGACAGCCCGGAACTGTCGATCCCGTCTGGAACACAGTGTTCAAGATGTGAGAAGTGGATTTTATGATTCCATCGCGATTACCTCCATTCGTAACAATTTCCGTAACGCGAGTTTTGTGCAAAATTAGAAAAAGAAAAAAGATTTAATATTTAAACTATGCTTAAATTCGCACGTATTTCACTCGCAATCATTCTAAGTTTGGAACCGTTAGAGTGTGCGAATTCTGCACAATGAATGGTGAGGTGTATTTCCGAGTTTAATATTAATTAACGTTTGCTGTAGCTCAGTATTATTATTACTATTACTATTATTACTACGCTTTTTCATAATGAAATTGTAAGGACGGGTATGTGCACGCCTCATTTATGTCCACCGGGTTAGCGTCAATTTGGCCATATTTCTCGCTTTATAACTTCAAAGACACAAATATATTGCATTATGTTTTTGCAGACTCTGTTGGCACATATTATAAACGTTAATTTCAGAGAGTTTATATATTTTTTAATTATTTTAAAATACGGCATATTTAGTTAAATGCCCCTTTGCATTTATGGATAGGAAGGCCTTTGCTTTTATGGATAGGAAGAAAACAAATCTTTATTCCAGAGCGTTATTGCACAATGCGCCATGTTTGCAATTTGTTTTCTCAAAATAACGACCCTAATAGTCGGCGATCAATACGTTCTGTCAATCTTTCCTATGCCTAATTTGTCAGTAAATAAGTCTGGACCCGTAGTCAGAACATCTTCTTTGGGGAAGCCGCCCGAAATGTCAACATCGCGCATACGCAAAACACGCACGTGACTGAGAGGGTGCCTACAATTTTTTCTCGCAAAGACTTTTTTTTTTTCAAAAATAAGGGTTGGTTTTATTTTTCTGAACATGGAGCCAGGAAAATATTATTTTTGTTATCAAAATTAAAACTGGTCACCGGACATGGTTGTTCGATCTTATCTGAAAGCGCCCATTGGATTAAAAACCTCTGCTTTGTTTCTTCCCAAGGAAGGAAGGTGTGGGACCTCCATGCTGTTCTGCAAGTCACCGTGCTGTCTGACTCAACAAAACAGGAGTTCCTCGGAACGGTTGTCTTCCCTCTGATCGCGGTAAGACAGCGCCAACAATTTAATTTCCGCCGCTGCCCGTATACAAATCCAATAAGGCGGACAAATCGGCAAATACTCGAACATCTTCCCCTCTTCGGCTGTACAAAAACAAAACAAAAAAAGATAATACTTACCATATTTAGCCGCATAATATTATTTCGGTCACGTGAACCAAATTGAGAATGTTTGTGCAGCTGCGTTGTTTTTAGGTCGAAGCGTTTGCAAGAACCAAACAGGCTTCAACTTAATTGTCAAGTGTATTCATCGTTCTTCCGCCGCTCAAAAAGAACTATTTCCGAAGTTGTTTTGCGACAAAAAAAAAATAAAAAAATAAATGACTAAAACACGTTACCCAGTCACTTCGAATTTGGGCCGTAAAATTGACAATGAACCCCCCCCCCCCCTCTCTCTCTCTCTCCAGGCTGAATCGGGAAGAATGCAGTGGTACCCACTAAAGGACGCCAGGCTTTTAAAGCACACCGGTGGTTACATCCTCTTGGAGGTTGACCTCATCTACAGTCCAGTACGCCACTTTGAGAAAATGCTACTACGCAACATAGATTGTCTCGACCTGTTTCAAGGAATCTGCTAAGAACCTAATTAAGACTGCTTTCCTGCCTGGTTACGGTATTGTTGTAAGAGAGACTGTGTACAAGTAAAAAGGGGGGGGGGGGGGGATACCTTATACCCCCCCCCCCCCTTGGGTATAGTATAACCCTCAAAAAGCGGATGTTCTACGTGAAGTGTTCAGACATGGTCCACGAGCGCTAGTATTATCAAAAAACCACCTGGAAGCATCAAGGAGGCCAACCGGCGTTTCGCAAAGAGACGTGCAGACTAAGTTTTGTAGCGAAAGGTCAGCTTCCGGGAGCCACCAGAAGATCGAATTTGAAGTCCTTGTAATGCGTGAGCATTACAGTCAGATACAACATTAGCAAGACAGCGCCGGAAAGGAGGGGGGGAGGCGGAAACTCGGAATGCTGAAGTGGAAAGGAGCGACCTCCTTTCCACAACGGCTTCTTTCGTGCGCTCCCTTTCAACACTCCCTTTTGCCCCTCGCACTGCCTTCAGGGAAAAGCTGGAAAGGGAAGCACGTCGCGCAGAGAGGAGGAGAGTAGTGAAGGACAAAGGCGAGAGGCAGGTGACGTCACGGGGAGGAAGCCAATGGGCGCGCGGATGCTGGGGCGAGTCTGAACTTGCAGGTGTGCGGGGCGCGTATGCCTTGGTTTGTGAAACAAAAATGAAGCGTGAACCAAGTACTAGCGCTGGTCCGAGTAGGCGGCAAAGAAATTCAAGGAAGATCCATTGGGGATCTTCAGGGAATGCGTTAACATAACCCTTTGGGAACGCCACATACGTTTCCCTTTGGGAAACGCTAACACTGACCCCGTAACAAGGCCAAAAAGAGGCAGCAGAAAAGTTGGCGTTACCCAAAGGGTCATGTTAACGCATTCCCCGAGGATCCATCAATGGATCTTCCTTTAACTTTTATCATCCTCAATTTCCTTCCTGTTTTCCATATACTTATCATTTGTAACGAGGCACCAGATTCCTTTCCTAACCGTGGTGCCCCGCAGTGTCGTCACGCGAGGCGATGAAGAAATGATTGTGAGAATGTATGCACAGTCTGCACGATATCAGTATACCACTCGTCCTCGCGTTTGCGTTGCCTTTCATGAGGGCGCAGCGTCACAGCGCGGGGTACCGGTGGCCGAGTGTGTTAGTGAACCGCAGCTCGACGGAGCACGTGGAGCGAAAACTCCCGCTGCAGAACCCAGGCGTCCTGCGATCAATCACCTACGCGTTTCGGTCTGGATGAGCATCGTACCGGCGTGCACGGTCGTGTACCCTTCCTGTGTGATGCACGTGCTAGCAATCAGACTGCAGTGGCTAAATTCCTCGTCCACAGCGTAAACCAATGTCGCAGCACCTCAAAAGCAGACCGACCTTTCGCTGTACAAACAGAAAGTAACTGTCTCTTTTTCTTTTTTTTTTATTATTGTTTACAGTTTAAGGCCGCCATCCAGAGCTTCAAGAAAAAGGCACCTCCTCCCCAGGCCCTGGCTTCCGGAGACTTATCACGCCACGTGAGTCTCGAAACGATGACATGCGAAAACAGGGATATCGCGATAGTCACGTGGCACGTCCACAGTGGGCTGGGGTTGAACGAAAACGTACCTCTGCACTCAAAAAAAAAAAAAAAAAATCTTGGGCAACTTTGGGTTTGATCAAATCGTCCTAAAATCGGAAGGTGCCTGTACGGTAGCTATAGCGGTGAGACGGAGCGATATTTTTGTTACCCTACCGGAGATGACATCAATGTGCAATGTTCCGGTGAGGCGTTTAGCATGTATAGGCGCTGTCTATTGAATTTTTTTTTTCTACTTATGAATTTTTAGGCTTTAGGGGCAGATTTATAAGTCAGACTTGGGAAGGGAGCGTCTGCAGAGAGATTTGACGTCACGGACGGATGTCACGTCACACCAAAGCATTCTTCATATCTAGTTTGTTCACCTAATAACTGTCATTTCACCAAATGCTAATTTTTCTTCTTAAAAAGGAGAGTGTATGCACTTTTCATCCATAAAAATGTTTTTGAAAATCTTTCGTAGGGCGGTCGCACCCCCTTTATGTACTTGCGCCTCTAGCTATCTTGACAAATTATTTTTCTACAAAAATCTGTTTTTTGTGTGTTTTGGAAAGAAGGCGTACTCCATGGGGCACTCCGCCTTCCCTTTAAACGTGACCGATTGTTCGTGGGAAGAAATCACTCTTGCACACGTCGCTCGAAAAAAAGTAACCGGTTACAATTACTCTCGGTTATAACGTATTCAGTTAGATTACTTGATGACTTGAAAAACAAAGTAATTTGTCGCTATTTAAAAAAAAAAGAGACCTTTACTTTTTCCGATTACTTCTGATTTTCCTCTCGGTTTGAAAACGGGTCATTTGTACCGTTCATTGTTTGATTAGAATCACCGATAAATAGTTATTTTCTCGATCCGCCAATTTTAGTAATTCATCCTAAAACAAAAGGCGCAATAAAAAGGAGAGGAAGAAATAATAACGGTTACAAGTAATTTTAGCACTTCCAAAAGTAATCCGACATCCTAACAAAATTATTCAAATGATTACAAAATGAATTAAAAAAGAAATCGATTAGAAGTAAATTTATTACTAGTAATGAGTATCCTGGAAGAAATAGGGTGAAGAAAAAATATATAATTTCAATTTGATATAAATTTTCACAAACATCTCTTGTGTGCAAAGACAAGCGATGCGTGTTTATACGTTTAAGCGTTAATAAGGAGTAAATGTTTTACATCGTGAAGGGTGCTTCCCCGTCTTTTTCCCAGGGCTAAAACCCAAAGGGTGCGAACTAACACTCTTGCGGTGTCAGCTCTGTGAACATCTGTAAGAGTGTTCCAGCATTCTGCAGATGGCAGACCCTGTAAAGCGGAAAACAATTCTGCAGGTGCTACTTTGTAACTTCGGGTTCCGCTCCCTGCACATGCGGACCACGTATGTACCGTTTTCGCGTACACAGCACACACAAGCGCCGCACGCATTAAACCAAAATCACGGCCTGCTCGTCCCCGTTGTTAATTTGACGAATAAAATGCAACCATTTTCTCGGTTAACGGCAATTTATAACGTTGCTTTTTATTTTTTCTGGCCAATATTTTACACGAAACGTGATTTTCTGAGGCACCGCGCAGTCACCAAAATAAACTCTGCTAACGTGATTCCAAGTGGGTAAATGTTACGCGCTCTTTTTACATACGCTATACCCTACTCAAAAAAAAAAAGAAAAAAACTCAAGGGTTTACTGCGCGAGATAAATGTGGTGAAAGGGTGTAGCGATGTCCATAAGTAATCGGAGTACACCCTTTTACGGGTAATCCGACTCAATATCCAAAGTAAAGCAATCCGTTCCATGATTTCTTCGAATTTACGCGAGCACCTCCTCGCCTGTTTGCCAGGCGAGAAGCTACAGTCTTCTCCAATATGAAAAACCCACTCGAAGCGTGTGGCCGAGATGGTGTCTGATGGGGGTATGGCGCTCGTCTGAGTCGTCTCTCGGAGCGACGTATGGCCCAAAATACGCGCCCCAACCAGCCGTCGTCTCAAGCCACCCGCTCCGAGTGGGCCTTTTATACTGATAGAAACTGTACCTCTTAAATTATCTCTTTAGCATATAATACGAGACACTAATGCGCAGTGAGGCGCTGAAGACCCAAGGCTCGCTCTTTGCAGGCACTCACTCGCAACGTGTCCAGGTGCCGGGCGCTTTACCGCCGCTTCAAGGAGATCCAGGCCTACATCCAGAGCTGCTACATGTGGGAGTCGACGCCTCGGTCTCTCATCTCTCTAGTGGTAGGAATGCGCCGGAATGCGTCCAACACGTGCGCTCGCGAGCCTGCCTATATACAGCTATACTTTACGAACATTCCCCCAAAAAATGAAAGCCGCTTACAACTCCCTGTAACGCCGAATTAGAGCGCAGCTCTTGAGGAGGAGGAGGGAAGGGCACGGGGGGGGGGGGGTAAACTAACCAGGGGGGGGGGAGGGTCACGTGACCTTGGGGGTCACGTGACCCCCAATGCCGATGATGTCATCACTGACGTCACTGATGACGTCATCCGTGACGATGACGATGCGGGTACCGATGACGTCATTAGTGACGTCACTGATGGCTTCACCAGTGATGATGGCGATGACGATGCGAATGTCGGTGACGTCATCAGTGACGTCGCTGATGACGTCATCAGTGATGATGACGATGACGATGCGGATGCCGGTGACGACATCAGTGACGTCACTGATGACGTCATCAGTGATGATGACGATGACGATGCGGATGCCGGTGACGTCGTCAGTGATGATGACGATGACGATGTGGATGCCGGTGACGTCATCAGTGATGATGACGATGACAATGTGGATGCCGGTGACGTCATCAGTGATGATGACGATGACGATGTGGATGCCGGTGACATCAGTGATGATGACGATGACGATGGGGATGCCGGTGACGTCATCAGTGATGATGACGATGACGATGCGGATGCCGGTGACGTCATCAGTGATAATGACGATGACGATGTGGATGCCGGTGACGTCATCAGTGATGATGACGATGACGATGTGAATGCCGGTGACGTCATCAGTGATGATGACGATGACGATGGGGATGCCGGTGACGTCATCAGTGATGATGACGATGACGATGTGGATGCCGGTGACGTCATCAGTAATGATGACGATGACGATGCGGATGCCGGTGACGTCATCAGTGATGATGACGATGACGATGTGGATGACGATGACGATGTGGATGCCGGTGACGTCATCAGTGATGATGACGATGACGATGTGGATGCTGGTGACGTCATCAGTGATGATGACGATGACGATGTGGATGCCGGTGACGTCATCAGTGACGATGACGTCATCGGGGGGTCACGTGACATCGGCGGGGGTCACGTGACCTCGGGGGGTCACGTGACCTCGGGGGGTCACGTGACCTCGAGGAGGGGGTCACGTGACCTTGAGGAGGGGGGTCACGTGACCTCAGGGGAGTCACGTGACCTCGGGGGGGGTCACGTGACCCCGGTGGGGGGGCTCGCGCGGTGCATTATGGGACATTTCCCATGATGCACCGCGCGGTTACGCCGACGGCGACGGCGACGGCGACGGCGACGGCGACGCCGCTCAAGCCGGAAACGGGCCCCTAAGAGCTGCGCTCTAAAAAACGATGTTCTCCTTATCATCAATATCGTTGCACTCCAGGGAGCGCAATGACATGGACCGCTCCAGCAGTGACATGAGCGTATGGACGCCTGCACCGGTTGCCAGCTTTCATCGCTCGCGTGTCCACTGTTTTAGAGAAGATAAGCGACCTTAGAAATGATAAGCCTTGGATGGCGTCTGGAAATCTTGCTTATCCCGTTAGAGTTATTGTGAGGAGTTGCGCTGCGTAGCGTGACCCAGTCTGCTCTAACTTCTCACGTGCTTGACTTCGCTTGATCAAAACATTTTTTTTTTCTTTTTGGATCTAAAGAAAGGAGCAGAGCATAACACAGTAGAAACACGTAATTGCAATTATTTCTCTTTTTCTTCTTTTCTCTTTTTTATAGCTGGAAACGCGTGCCATTAAAACGTTTCTCGTCAAGAGCCAATGTTGTCTGGTATGGCGCAATGAACATTCGGCACGCTTTTAGGAAGACACGTTATAGTAAGCGGCTTAGTACTAAATTTTCCCGAATGGCAAGAAATTAATCTTGGCGAGTATATGGATCATGAAACCGTGTAAACCAGACAGCTGAATTTGAGCCACGCGGGATATCTTGACGAGTGCTACTCTATAGACCGACACGCGGAGCGGCTCTGTTTACCAACACAGCCGGAAGGCCGCGCATGCGCGGTAGCTATGTGGGCAAAAGCAGCCCGGCTCTCCGTGTTTTCGCCATTGCGCTCTATGGCGTGCGCTCGTTGTTGACGTTGTAGGGACGCTTGTATCTTTATTTGTGCGTTGTATTTCCTCATAACGTATGTCGTATGCTATGCCCGTCTATTTGAGCTCGTTGCCCGAGCCTGAACGGTAGCGGTATCGAAGCAAACTTTGCGTGGGCGGCGTTGCCTACGAGGATCCGCACGCCGTATAAACAAGACCTGCTGGACTTCCGACGCAAAGTTGCTGCCACCGACGTCGATGGCTCACGTCGTCGTTTATTTAGTTTTTTCGCCAAGCCAGTTCACGGCCGACACGGTGCAGGCGTACACGTCTCTCGAGGTCTACGATTACTTCGAGTTGGTTTCCGCACTGCCGGCGGGATCAGCAGCCTGTGGGTCCGCGGAAGTGTGTGTATTCATTAATTGATTAAATACACACAGCGTCTTCAAGTCAAGGTATGATATTTTCCCTGCCCTCGTGACCACAAGGCATGACAAGCAGTAACGCTTTGTCCGTTCTGCAGTCTTGGCGGTAACATGTTACAAGTAACGGCGTTGTTGGTAACGTGTTACTTTTTTCAGTAACGTAGTAACCCACTCGTTACGTTTTCGACACAGTAACGGGTAACGTACTTATGTTACTATTTCAAGTAACGTAGTTACGTTACTCGTTACTACTTCCCAAGTCTTAAAGAAATTACACTTAAATTTTTTACGTGTTTTTTGGGCGTCAAACCATGTTTTTCTTTCCGTTTTTTCTCGTAAGTATTTTGGTGAAACCGTAAAAAGAGATAAAGTAATTATGTTTAGTTTCTGCATGAACATAATGTTTCTTGATATATTACCTGTATAGTCAAAACCGTAAAATGTGTTAAATCATAATTTAAAAAAGTAACGCAGAACTTCGTGCGTTACTTTTTATCGGTAGCGGGAACGCGTTCCTTTTATTTTTAGGTAACGTAGCTCAGTAACGCGTACCTTTTATTTGCAAGTAACGAGCAACATATTTCGTTACTTTTTTTCGGTAACGCCTACAACACTGCCGTTCTGTCGCCGTTCCCCTTCTGCTGGGTAGCACGAGTGTAACGAGCCTCCGACGAGCGCTTGGCCGGTGCTTTGTGCGCGAACACCACGGGAACAAAATCCGGGTGGTCTCGATCAGACAACGGTTTCCCTGCACATAAGCAAGCCTCGGGACGGAGATTGGAATGGAAGCCGCACTTGCCTTCAAGAAAGTGTTTGCCGCACAAACGGTCGTTCGCGCGAGGCGACCATACTTTTCGATCCACGGATATTATCCACCTTCTATGCCTTTCAGAGTCTGCCGGGAACTTGTGGAAATTCACTCTGCTGCTTTTCTTGTACATTTTGACGCAATTAACGGCAACACAGCTTCGCGGCATGCTGAAATGCTATGACGCCCATGCGAAACGTGCGCGCTTTTGCCCACACCCCCTGGCTCCGGCGCGATCGCAGCGCCGCCACAGCTCCGTGACGTCAAGCCCGCGTGTCGGTCTATATATAGGGCTCCGTGTTTTCGGAGTTTATTTTTCGTGAAATTCGGAGGGTGTTTTTCGGAGTTCATTTTTTAGCGAAAATTCAGTGTTTATCGGAGTTTATTTTTCAAATATCCCCAATTCTCCGAAATTCGGAGATTAATTTCGCAGTGTTTCCTATTAAAAATAATAAATAATAACCGGATGCCAACGTATGCCAGATAAAAATAAACGGGCTTGTATCAATTAAGATTTCTTCAGTTGAATTTGACGTTGGTGTCGTTGGCAATACTAATTTGTCCCACGACAAAAGTCGTACACAAATGTGGCTTCGATAAACGTCGATACCTTAAAATCAACAGACTGCCGGAGATAGCCGCAAGGAAGTTCGTAGTCATCCCATCAATCTATCCCGCTGCCGCGCGAGGTGGATGTAATAGAGAAGTTTCAACTGCCCCTCTTCCCTATTTTATACAATCTCTATAGTCCATAGCTTTCACTGTTACCCCCATAAACATACACTCTCCTTTCTATAAATCCCAAATCCCATGGCCCAAACTGGAAACAAAAAGAGTGGCTTTTGTCCTTACACGAATGGTACGATGACCTGTTTCCCCGAACCAACCTTGATGAGACAAGCCGTAAGACCCCCTTTTAACAACAGTCCGAGCCTTGAAAGATAATTATGGTGTCATTTTCCCAGGACCATTGAGCCTGCGCTGCCAAAAAATAAAAATCAATAAAAAAAATTGTTGTTGTTTGGGGGGGGGGGGGGGGGGGGGGAGTGGCATGGGCACATAACAATTCGGAGTTTATCGGATAATTCCGAATTTCCAAAAATTTTACCGGCGGGTGTTTTTCGGAGCTTTTCGGATTTATCCGAAAACACGGAGCCCTATCTATATAGTATTAATCAAGTATCTAGCGAGATGGTATACGGGCTTGCTTATACGGTCCTCTCGTAGAATTTGCCGCTGTCACGTTTCTCCCCTTGAAGAGGTCTGTTTATGCCGCAGTTCTTCGTGTGGCTGTCGCTGTGTCTTGAGCTCTACATGGTCCCGTGGCTGCTGGTGGTCCTCTTCTTCACCGACCTGCTGGTCTTCAGTCTTTGGGGCGTCAACACAATAGACGAAGTACAAAGCTCCGCCCAACAACTTCCAATACAAGATTTTAGCGAAACGTTGGATGCCAGTTTGAGGCTTCCAGGTTCTTTTTCCTACAAGTTCCGGTTTCCTTCGATCGCCTTTGGTCTGATGGATGCTCTTCTTTTGCGTCGAACGTCCCCGTGTGTTATATGATAGCGTTTTCAGAAAAGTGATTAATATAAGCACGTGTTCTGCGCGTCTGCAAAAAAGGCACAGATATCTATGCCGTAAAATCCCGAGATATAGCCCACCTAATATCAAGAGCAAATCGGGTGAGAATATGGAGTGGGCTAACTTTTGGCGTACAATCAAGACAAGTTAAAAAAAATGCTATTTTTAAGCCGTCTTCCTTGCAAGCTTGTTATGGTGGCGAGGGACAAAGAAGCAAGGATGACTACTTTCCACTCAGCAGCGTTTGCTTATAACCCGCCATATCTAACTAGCCGCATTTACGCCGAGGCCATCATTGATCCTAGCACTACTATTACGAGGAGTGGGCTATCTTTTGGGGGCGGGGCATCTCTCGGGATTTCACGTTCACGTCTCATGTCTTGTTAACATGGGTCCCGGTTATGAATATCCCACTCTACAAGCAAAATTTTTGGGGGACGAACTGGCTAAATACGCGCCTTGTTGCCTCGCTATGAACAGATCACATTATGGTCGATCTTTAGGGAAACGAAGGAATCTATGTTAACGAGACATCACTATATATTTGCATGCGCGCAGCCGCGAGCTGGGGCTCGAACATGACGGGGGATCATGGCCAGGCTATAGACGGCATGGGCGCGATATTAATTTAAGGTAAAGGAGGCATTGTTCAGTTCAAGAATGTGGCTTGCATTGGATAACCGATGTGCATAATTTCTTCTTTGTTCTTCCAGTCTTTGAAGGAGGAGGAGGACGCGGACAGTGATGAAGACACCTCCGTGAGTTTGTTATTTGCATTTTCTCCCCATTATGCAACTGGGTCGCATGGTCTAAAGTTCCCAGATAAGAACTTCCTACAAGTAGCGACATTCTTTGAAGCGCCGACTGGGTGAGGGTGCAGGTTTTAGGAAGCGAATGGCGATGCACAGCAGAATACACGACAGAATGATGCCATTTTGTTCGAGAAGAATGTGCTTTGTCATTTGCATTGGTTGTCATTACTTCTAAAATTAAGTATCGAGGGACTTTAGCATGGTCTATAGTAGTTCATCGTAGAAGGTGCACCTCACGTAAGCACATCGTTGACCACTCTCTTTGTGCTGCTCTCTTTTTTCAAATGCAAGCTGGGTTTCAAGGCCTAGTCCTTGAAACTGAGTTAATGGAATCCAGACAGTTTTCATCATTGACCTTGCATTATTTTTCTGCCCTTTTACTGTTTTTTTTTTTATTCCTTTCAGTCGAACTAAGTAAGCTATGTTGTCAAAACAAAACTAGTTGACAGAAGTCTGGTAAAACGACGAAATCGTCGACGACGAAAACAAGAAAACGACGAAAACAAGAAACACGAAAACCATATCATTATGTTGTTGTTTCATACTGTTTGGTGGGAGCAGCGCAAAAAAGACGTAGGACCAGGACGAAGAAACACACAGACAGGGCGCTAGAAAAAATCAAAGGCCATCCACCAGACCCGTCGTACTCCCGTATGTCCATGCCTTCTCCCACCGAATCAAGCACGTTGCCAGTAGGTTTGAGGTGCTTGTCGTCTTCTCGGCGCCATATAAGCTGTCCTGCCTTTGTGCCGCTTTGAGTAGAGCGGGACGCCCTTCCAGATCCTCTGTCCTGCGGCCGGGTGTATATTGGTCAGACTGAGCGGTGTGCAAGAGAACATTCGCTGTCTCACGTTCTTCGCCCTCAGGGAACCTAGCGGTCCATTGTGATATAGGCGCGGCTGCTCGCCGTCATTTCATAAAATAAAGAGTTTGTCTCGACACAAAAACAAGACTGCGAGGGAGATAGACGAAGCGTATTCTATGGCGTCTATCGGAGCTGACACGTGTGTGAGCGCTCCTTCTCTTGCCCTTGCAGATGTCGAGTTAGATTTCGTTAAAAAGTGGCAGGTCTGTGTGACAGCGTGTAGGCGTGTCTGATGCCGAATGTTATCGGTTTGCTTTGTTTGTTTTCTTCCCTTCCTCCTTCCTGTGTTTATTTCTGTTTTTGCAGAGCAATAAACTTTCGGCTGTGATCAGTGCCCTGTCTGTGTGTTTCTTCATCCTGATCGTACGTCTTTTTTGCGCTGTTCCCACCAAACAGTATGTACCACCAACTAGCCCAACTACATGCCTTGTTGTTGTTTCAGCCTGTAAAAAAACTTTCTTAGCATCTTCTTTCTAAGCTTCCCAGCGCTTACCAGCCAGGTAAAAAAGTGCTGAGTCACTGAGATCTGGACTTAAGCGCGAGACCCCGGATACTTTTGCACACGACAGATCGTTACTGCGGATGTTCAAGAGTTAAAACGCATTCTACGGCCCAGTAGCCAAATATACAAGATATAAGGAATATATAAGCGCGCAAAAATCGATTATGAACTTCTTTCGAAATTCGCGTGCCGATTATTAAAAGGACGGAACCCCTGCACAATGGCGGAACAACTGACATCGTGGAACGTGCAAGTCATTCCATAACATAGCGAACGTCGGAGCGCGGCCAACGCTAAGAGCCGACCAGCCAATCAAAAAGCGTCGAAAGGGCAACGTAGCTGCGGTCATCACCTTTTTTCTGTGGGCGTGTTCTTTCTTCTATTCCAACCGATATCGAATAAAGTGTGCCGTGACGTTGCCGTTTCAGTCCATCATTGTTAGAGGTGAAATCTAGCGTATTTTTGTCCCCTGAATTTGAACGTCACAACAAGCGCTTGAACCGAATTTGTAAATAGACGCGAGATAAACCGAAAAACTAACTGCTGGGTGTGACGTCGAACCCAGAGGTTTCAGCTGCCCTGCGCGTGCCGCTTGTGAGGGAACGCGTGCAGCGCTTTTGACTGCTCGGGATGCGGAGAGAGAGCCGTCTGCTTCTACCGCCGGAGTTGCGGTGACGTCAGGACGACGCCGAGCTCTGATTGGCTTTGATTAAAAGGATAGTGGGTAGACTTCAATGCTAGATACCTCAGGGTCTACCCACTATTTTTTTTTTTTTTTTTTGATCAGCGAGCTTGGCGTTTTAATTGACATCATCGTAACCCCTGCAATAGAAGCAGACGAACTTACGCTCCGCATAGACACTTTTGCCATATATCCTACTCTATTCTCACAAAGCCTGGCAGTTCGACGACGGAGCCCTAGAATGCCCGGTCGCAGATTTGGAGCGCGAGGATCTGGTAGCACCAGAGCATCAAAAGAGCCATTTCTCGGGGAACCTGGACGTCAGCGCACAGCTTTTGCAGCGGCGATGACCCGAAACACTCTTTGTTCGCTCAGAAGAAGTGTGTTTCGGCGTCTCGCCGCAGCGGGGCGCCAGTCACGTCCCTCTCCTCTCATCCGTTGTCTGCCGCTCCACCTTTTCCACTTTGGCAGCCGCTTCTCATGGTGATCTGCTAGGTTTTGTCATGGCGTGGAAAAAAAAAAGAAACTTGGAAGCAACAACAACCATGGCGTCGACGCTCCGTGGGCCTATCTGTTTCAATTCAATGCTTAGGCTTGCGGAAAGCGCATAAGTCGTGATTCCCTCGACGTACCGAACGCGACGGGAAGGAGGGGCTTGGGCGCTATTTTGAAAGTGATGTTGTGGCTATATGGTTGGTGCGTCAATCTTAAATATAATTCTGATATTCGTAATCCTAGAGGCCAAACCCAAACGATTTAATTTTTTTTTTTCTTCTTTCTTCAAATACAAAACAGCTTTAATTTCCATTTAACGTACCTCGCGATTTCTGGACACAAAAATGCAATCATACAACCCATTAAAAAAATATATATATATAAAATAAAAGTTCCGGTTTAACATTGCAAGACGGAACACGACTTGGTTCGAGTTAGACAAGTGCCCCTTTGTCATTTCTCCTCTTCCATCAGTCCAAGCGGTCGCTCAAGAAGAGGCTGGGCAATCTCCAGGACGCAGCAGCGTCGATGCAAAACGCGATGGGCAAAGTGGCGTCGTACGGCGAGCGCCTCCGCAAGTGAGACCCATCAGCTTCTTTCCTATGTACTCCGTTTCACCCAGACGCAGTTAACGCCACAATCCGATAGAGTCTTTTTAGACCTAGGCTAGGTGGCGCAAGCTACATCCCGTCACAGTGAGCGCGGCATGATCCTGCACTTTTTCCCTGCGCGTGGTCGGCTAAGACGGTAATATCAGACGCACAAAGACGACGGTCGAACGCCGTGACGATTCACTCTTGGCGCCGCCTGATTGGCCGCGTCGTATCCAATACCGAGCGCAAGTTCGTCTGCTGCTTTTGCGGAGGGTTGTGGTGACGTCACAACGCCGAGCTCTAACTGGTTCTGGTAGAAGGATAGTGGGTAGAGCTCAAAGTAAGCTGCCTTGAGGTCTAGCCACTATCATTCCAATCATAACCAGTCAGAGGTCGGCGTTCTGACGTCACCACAACCCCTGTTCGAGAAACAAACGAACTTGCGCCCCGCATAGCGTTGACTGCGGCCGGAATTACCGCGAAACGGAGCATACACTCGTCAGCCCTTCGACCTTAGGACCTTATACGAGCCGGTGAGACTAAAGTTCCTAGATCTTCCTACGAGTGGCGACATTTTTGAAGCGCCACGACTGCGTGACGGTGCAGGTTTTACGAAGCGAAATGGCGGCGCACAGCGGAAGACTCAACTGGAATGACGCCATTTTGAGCCAGCGGAATGTGCCTTGTCATTTGTATCGGTTGTCGTCACTTGTAAAAAGAAGTATCGAGGGGCTTTAGGCGGGATCCATCAAACAGCGTGAAAAGTGCAAGTCACTGGGCCTTCCTAAAGTTCCTAATTAATAGCTTCCTTCATGTAGTGACATTCTTTGAACCGCCGACTGCGTGGTGGCGCAGGTTTAGGAAGCGAATGGAGGCGCACAGCAGGAAAACTGAACTAGAATGACACCATTTTGTTCCAGTGGAACGTGCTTCGTCATTCGTAGTGGTACTTGTAAGGAGTAGCATTCAGGAACATTGACGTCCCGTGGTTAAGTGAGACAACGACATCACTTGTACTGTGGCGTCATACGACATGGTGACGTCACGGGACGCCGTGACGCGACATCGCGATGTCATGGCACGTGGTACCAGCACGACACTGTGACGTCAGATGGCGTTACGCTTATACTTCGTTTCAGCTTCGGTCCGAGCGCGGCCGATGTTATGAGCCAAAGGGCCAACCAAACAGCGCAAAAAGCCCAGCGTCATGGCGTGCTCTCTGCTCTTGATAGGACTAGCCGGCGGAGGAGCGCGCACAGAGAGAGACGGCGAATACCGGCTGGTCCTATCAACTGCAGAGAGCACGCCATGACGTTGTGCCTCTTTCGCTGCTTGATTGGCCCTTCGGCTCATAACATGGGCCACGCTCGGACCGAAGCTGAAACGAAGTATAGTGTGCAGTGCGTAATCTGTGCGGCAGTGCGCAGCGCCTCGGCTGTCGCCGCACCATAGCTCATTTGCCGGACATGGCAGGGAACCCGGATTTTGTTTGTTTTTTCCAGCTTGGTAGGCTTCGTGGACCCGTACGTGTCCAAGCTGTTCATCGTCAGCCTCCTCATATTTGGCTTCCTGGCATATGTGGTTCACGTCCGCTACTGGTTCTTGATGTGGGGTGAGTTCGGAAATCATCATGGTCCCCGGCATTTAATTGTATGCGCGGTAAATCCGAAATGATTTTGAGCAAACACTTGTAATTTAAAAAAGTAAAAAAAAAAAAGGAAGTTAATCGTCGTAAAAAGAGAAAAAAAAATCTGTGCATTTATTGGCTTTGATGCCGTGCTCCACAAATTTCGCACGCATCCACATTAAAAAGGAAAAAAAAAGCGATTAGAGGTGATTGTTGATCAACTTTGAACTCTTCGTGGTGGTTAACTAAAAAAAGAAAAGACAAGGGTCAAATGAACACAGAACCAAAACGCACGCATAACCACTACTTCACATGCACATCTAGGGTCAGAGCAATTGACCCGAGACAAAGGGGTGTCAAGTATGCAACAGAAGACCGAAGGAGGGGACAAGGCGGACAATTAAAACGTCGTCCTTGATTCTTGGATATTATCTTCAATATTTTCATATCCCCGCGACTCCTAAATGCTTCACGTAATTCCGCCTTGACATCCCTTACCCCCCATTCACACTGGAAGCGGATCCGCGTTCGCGAAGCGGTTGCGAACGCGGTTGTATGAAGATCCAGTGCAATTGCACGCGCATTTGATGTCATCAAATGCGCGTGCAATTGTACTGGGGGGCTAGTGTTTCGTCGTCGAGAAAGCGGTAGTTAGGATGTCCACCGGAAAGAGTTGAGCACGTTGGTTACACATATTTAGGAGACACCAGCTGAACAACCCAAGCACACAAATGTAAGAAGGACGAGAGAGACGCATTCAACCGCTGGACTACCAACTGAAATTTAATGAAACACTTCATCTTCATCGACAGGCTAGGATCAATCATACCTAGCTTGCTTCACTTCTTCCTCTTTTTCCTCATTATTAAACTAAGGCATCTTCCTCGTCTGTCTACTTGTGGGCGGTACTTCCCCTCGCAAGAACGTTCTCTCTTCTCTGGTTAAGGTCACAGAGGGTGAACTATCACACATGTCCCCTTTCTCTTGTATGTTTAAAGCTTCTAAAACCTCGCGTGCAAACCGGTTTCGATGGTGCCCCATGACGGTAACTTTGTCTAGGTTCGCCTTGCACTTGCAGTCGCGGCAATGTAGGGCTAAGTGACCTGCTGCCGTCAAGGTCTTCAAGCTATTGGCATGTTCCCGAGTCCTATCATTTATACAACGCCCGGTCTGGCCGATGTAACAGCGGCCGCATGTCAGGGGTATGTGGTATATAACCTCCTTGTCGCACTGGGCATAAACCGTCCTGTGATTGGTGCCACAAACCTTGCTGTTGCTGGTTTGCCCTTGATTAACCCTGCGGCACAACGAATAGGCCTTATTGGGCGCCGAACACAGCACTTGTACCTCATGTCGATTGGCCATCTTTTTTAACCTATGCGTAATCCCATGAATATATGGAACAACCACAAACGGTCTACTTTTCTTCTTTTGCTGTGTGGAAGGGTCGTTGCGTCCGCAAGTCGTCTTGATGGTGCGGCAAATTCTTTCGCACACGGAGGCAATTACATGTCGCGGGTAGCCCGCGTCTTCGAGTCTTCGAGCGCACAAAGAGGGAAGTCCGTTCCGGGCAATTATTTCGGAGAGGAACACGTGGCAAGCTTGCGTGTCCAAATTTCTCACCGAAAAGATCAACCTTGTTTTGATGCAAGACCCTTTCCGGATTTCCAATTCTGAAAATGTGATTTCTTTTCTTAAAGAAAAAGGGAACATCATCGTTTCTGGGTTTGCCGTGGACGTTCAAGATATGTACTACTCCCTCCCGCATGCACGTCTACTACAAGTTCTTCGGTCAAACATAGAAGATCAAGGCCTCACGTCATTCCAGAATGCGGCAGGGATGCAAGTAGATACCTTCTTAGAACTTTTGGGCTATTACCTATCAGCCACGGTGGTAGCCTACCAAGATCGCCACTACGTGCAGAGAAGCGGCGTATGCATAGGATCCAAAGTGGCCCCACATCTGTGTGAAGTTTTTCTCGGAGCGTGCGGGCGTGCCATCCAAGAAAGTATTAAAGATCCAAGAATCGCGGCGATATTTAGGTATGTCGATGATTTCCTCATTTTATGCACTACAGAAGTTGACGATCATATCGACGGGTGTCTCAACAACATCCTGAGGAGTTTTCAGCACTCATGTATGGGGCTCACTTTCACGCATGAGCTTCCAGAGAGGAAAATCATCAAGTTTCTGGATTTGGTCTTGGAGTTCAGAGCAGAACATGTTTGCTGGAGATACCAAGCCCGTTCAGGCAAAGGGTTTCTCCCCTTCTCGTCGCAGCATTCAAAAAACTGTTAAGCAGGCGGTAGCTTTCACAGCCCTGTTTTCTAGCCTGAAGAAATCCTGTGAGCATCAGCTCTCCCGAAGCTTTGAGTTGCAAATATCCAGACTCGAAGACGCGGGCTACCCGCGACATGTAATTGCCTCCGTGTGCGAAAGAATTTGCCGCACCATCAAGACGACTTGCGGACGCAACGACCCTTCCACACAGCAAAAGAAGAAAAGTAGACCGTTTGTGGTTGTTCCATATATTCATGGGATTACGCATAGGTTAAAAAAGATGGCCAATCGACATGAGGTACAAGTGCTGTGTTCGGCGCCCAATAAGGCCTATTCGTTGTGCCGCAGGGTTAATCAAGGGCAAACCAGCAACAGCAAGGTTTGTGGCACCAATCACAGGACGGTTTATGCCCAGTGCGACAAGGAGGTTATATACCACATACCCCTGACATGCGGCCGCTGTTACATCGGCCAGTCCGGGCGTTGTATAAATGATAGGACTCGGGAACATGCCAATAGCTTGAAGACCTTGACGGCAGCAGGTCACTTAGCCCTACATTGCCGCGACTGCAAGTGCAAGGCGAACCTAGACAAAGTTACCGTCATGGGGCACCATCGAAACCGGTTTGCACGCGAGGTTTTAGAAGCTTTAAACATACAAGAGAAAGGGGACATGTGTGTTAGTTCACCCTCTGTGACCTTAACCAGAGAAGAGAGAACGTTCTTGCGAGGGGAAGTACCGCCCACAAGTAGACAGACGAGGAAGATGCCTTAGTTTAATAATGAGGAAAAAGAGGAAGAAGTGAAGCAAGCTAGGTATGATTGATCCTAGCCTGTCGATGAAGATGAAGTGTTTCATTAAATTTCAGTTGGTAGTCCAGCGGTTGAATGCGTCTCTCTCGTCCTTCTTACATTTGTGTGCTTGGGTTGTTCAGCTGGTGTCTCCTAAATAGGATGTCCAAATTCGATGCGCAGGTCTTCGCAAGTACGCCAGGGGTCTTCTGGGTTCCAAGGAACGCGCAGAAGGCTTCCACCTGCGTAACCTCCTGAACAGGACGCCCGATGACCTAGAAAGGGTGCGTTATACCAGTGCTGCACCATAGAATTGCCACTCATCCTTGACCTGTGCGTTTACCGCAAGGTAAGCGCACCGGTCAAGGAAAATTTTCGCTGGAGTGTCACGTGACCTGGCGGGTCACGTGACCCCCAAGGTCACGTGACACCCCCAGGTCACGTGACACACCCCAGATCACGTGACCCCCCTCTCCCGAGGTCACGTGACCCCACCAAGGTCATGTTACCCCCCCCCCCCCCCGACGTCACGTGACCCCCTCCCCCGAGAACACGTGACCCTCAGTACCCTTCCCTCCTCCTCCTCAAGAGCTGCGTTCTAATTCGGCGTTACAGGGAGTTGTAAACGGCTTTCAGTTTTTTTTTTTTTTTTTTATTTTGCCCGCTTTCTCAAAAACCTCTCGTTCGCAGTTGGACCTCGCGCAATTTGTCCCATTCTCATTTGGTCCGTCTCGTTTGTACGTTCAACTTCTCATAAGATCCGAATCTGTTTCTTCGCAACTGGGCCCATTCTCATTTTGCCCCTTCGCGTTACGACCGAATGACACTACTTCGGCGGCTTCTACCGAGGTTATCCCTTCGCGCGGCCGTGTTGGTGAGTCTTACATTGTTCGAGTCCCCAGCATACCATCAGATATATGTAGGGTCTTTCGTTTTCGGGTTAAACCCGATATTTCCTTATATTTACAATCAGATTATGTTTCTTTTAATCGGGTTAAACATGATTTTAACCGAATATGGAACAAACCTTCCACCATTTTCACGTCTTTTCTTTTTTTTTGTGTTGTAGAAATGTGGAGCTCCTTTACGAAACTTGCTGAAAGCGCGCATGACAAAAGCGATACAAAACATATCCAAAAAAAATACTCTCTAATAAAAAAACATTAACTTATTTTTGCGTAGTCAATTTCGATAAGAAAGCGCGACCCAGACCACCGAACGGCTCACCGAAGTTGCTGTGCATTGTAAGCGGAAGCTTTGATGTTGAGAAAACGTTCTACTTTCGGAACAGAAACGCTACGCATGCAGATGATTATGTACGTCATTGTTAAAAAAAACCTTTTTGAAAATTGAAAGGACAAACTGAGTTCTTACACACCGTTTTATTCCCATTCTCTGCACATTAAAGACTGGTTCGTGTACATAATGCGTTCCATGTCCTAACACCGATCGCTACTTTTTATTGACAGAAGGCAACGATCAAGTGCTGAAGGCGGAACTTCTGCCTTCTCTACCTATCACAACTATATATAGTTGTGATAGGTAGAGAATGCAGAAGTTCCGCGGAGAAGGAGACTATTGGAAAGGTCTATAGGCCCCTCCAATAGTCTCCTGCGCGCTGCCCTATTTGTCTATTTGCCCTACTGGGCTGTGGAAGGCGTTCTGCGCATGCGCGGTAGCTCTCTTTCACGAAATATGAGACGCCACGCACGCGTCCACAGCCCAGTGACTCAGCATCTTCGCCTGGGTGATAAGCTCCATCGCCGACACCCTTGTTGTTTTTGGCAATTTCCTTAGGCAAGTATTAACACAGAATGTGTTTTATGAGCCGATTTTCATTGAGATCTTTAATGTTCTATACTGCTACGTTCGGCTGTAAAGAAAAAGCGACACCGAACAGCGTTACGCCTATAGGGAATTATAGGGGCCAAGTGAGAATGGCGAAACGAAAACGGGCTCAAATGAGAAGGGCTGAAATGCTAAGGACGAAACAGAAAGAGCCAAATACGACGGGGCAAAGCCAGAAGACCTTCTAGGGAATGGTTGTTTTGAGAAGTGCCAGGTGAGAAGGCGAAACGAGAACGAGCTCAAACGATAACCACCCGACCAAAACAGCTGCTGGCGCCAAGTCCAGCTCCCCCTTCCTTCCAATAGCGTCTCTTAGTTTTAGCAATCGTTGGGGACGTGTCACCCCACACTTCTGGATTCACCTCTGGCGGCGTCATGTCGAATCCGGAAGCTTCCTCCCTCTATGGCTTACCGCGTCCTAAGAAAGTGGTCCCTCGATTGCTGCCTGATGACGTCATAGAAATGTCGTTGTGATGATGTGGATTTTGGGAAGCGACCGCGAAGTGGAGAAGAAGAAGTTGGTGGACTTCAAATGAACGTAAAGGAGATGCTGGAGAGAAGGCACGAGGCGGGTTGGAACGACACCGGCGGATCAGCCTCCTGAGGCGCGATTCGTGTTAGAGGAGCTGTGCAACAATTTCAGGGCTTTGCTCATATAACTTCTGGAGTTGGTGTCTGTTGGTGTCTCGACCTTTCTGAAGTAAAGAATAAAAACCGCTTTTGCCTGCATGTCCCAGTTTTTATTTTAAAAATTGACAAAGATTGCGGTTTTCGGCACCTCTCAACTCCTTCAGCATCTTCCAAGTCACGTGCGCTGTGACGTGAATGAGGGACGCGCGGGGTTCCGGCGAAGCTCTCTCTCTAGAGCCATCAGTAACAGCGAGAACTCACCCGTTCGCGATCATGTGACCACGTGCTTACGCAGCGCGATCAACATGGCGAAAGGAGGAGAGTGCCAACGTACTCGCCCGGCTACGGCCATCCCCGTCCCGCTCTGCCCCCTTCCCCTTCCGGCTTATGGCGGCTGTTCGAGCTTGCAGATAAAGCTGACGGTTTTGTTGACCTCGGATAGATGGCGCCACAATAACTCGTATACTAAAAGTTTTGTCGATGATACCAGGTTTTTGACGCATTTATATTTATGTTGGAACGACAAGATTTGTAGAAAGATTACCTTTTATCGGGCAAGTATTGCACAACTTGCCATCGTTTTACAAGTCCTCCTTTGACGTCACGCCGCGTGGTTCTCATGGCCGCCGCTCGCGGCTGCAAATCGGGAATATTCTAATTTTTGCCTCGCGATTACGCAGCAGAATCGCAACATTTCAAAGGAAGGAGATATATTTTCTGTCCTTTGTGACAAGTTAAAGAATGCCAAAAGTAGAAGATGCAAATTCTTTCAACGTTAAAATCGTTGCCCAGCCCCTTTAAGGCATGTGGGAACGACACCCAGGCAGGTCAAGATCACCGTCGCTACCAGCTGAACACCATTAAAAACATTAGCATGATGGCTGCGCCCGAAAGGACTCTGTAAATATCCGTATATTGTTCTTCTTGCGAGTCATGTTCCTCTTGTTTCACATACATGGTTTTCGAAGTTCCGTGTCCCCATCATTTGCCATCATCATCATCATCACAGTCATGCTGTCGCCTGTCGCGATCCTGGTGGTGTCACAACAACGGGTGGGTGTAGCAGACGCCTATAATATTCTGCTGCGGGGCGCTCTCCAGCTTCAAAGTACACGGAAGCTTCGGCAGTCAGGAATTGGGACGCTGCTACAACAGCGATATTCACGTTCCCTCGTGCTTCCCCCCCCCCCCCCCCCCCCCAGAACTTTTACAACCAACCGCCAGGATCGCGACATCCGACAGGACGACACTCCGGCATTTGTGACCTGTTGCCACTAAGGGAGCACTTTCGACGCACGGGTGGAATAGGACACTAAGCATACCAGTCGGCGACGCGTTCCAGACACCGTATACCCATAATGCACTGCAGCACCGAAACTGATGATGATGATGGTGATAAAGGGTCTGACGGTACGACAGCAACGAAGGCCATACTGTGTCAAGAACAGAAACCCTACGGGGTTCGCTCGAGATCACAGTACACTGCACTTGTTTTTTGTTTTGTTTTTTGCCGCCACTCGGTAGTAAATCAAGAGGTTGGGAAAAGGTTGTCCAAGACGGCTCGAATAAGCTCCTTTCTTGTAACACCAGACAGAAACCCGCGAACAAAATCGGTCGAAAAAAAGGTTATAGGATTGAGCTTCTGTCAGGAATCCAACAGCTATCACAGTATCCGGTGTCTGGGAAGACGCCAGAAACGATGGCAAACAGCCGGATAGTTTGGTTTGTAACACTGTGCGTACAAATAATTGCTCCTCGTCACGCAAACAACAAAACAAAACAAAAAAACGCATATATGTTGACGAAACAAATGTGGCAGGCCTAAGCCTCCAAGCGGAATAAGTCGAACAAGATTGTCGCGTCTCATTGGTACACAGCGTTAACAATCCACTTTATACTTAGAATTTTTGTAGTACCCGATACCCACTAAACGCGCTCTCTGGAACAATACATATCGATAAAAAAGTGCTGTTATAGCACTATCAATGCCAAGAGCTGTGTCTATTTTGTGCTAGCCCAGCCGTCGCTGGGCTTGCACAGTCGATTAACACAGGGCTGCTCTGTTTTTATTTACCTCAAATACTCAGGGTCTGTAGGCATTGCAGAGAGAAGTGAATACAAGGTATATGAAGAAGAAAAAAAAAAAGGTTGTAATGCAAATAATTACCTGTCAATAAAATCTTTACGTCGTTAATCAAGGTCGTTTTAAAGGTGACGCCATGCGATAATGATACCACAGGCGCTGTTTCATGAAAGCGTGCATGGTTCAGGTTATGAATGAACCGTGCAAATTTGTTTTTGTCATAGTGATATATGCCCACTTTGTATCAGAAAGGAGGTTGGTAGCTTGACGCGCAAGAGCACAAGAGTGGATTTATGGTAGATTTTGTGAAACGAAAACAAACCAGCAATTTTTCTAGGTGATGCAAGGTTAGGCAGGTTCAAACTACATTTCATAGATGTCACGCTGCAGTGCGTCGATAGCAAGTATGATGCGACTAGATTTATTTTGAATCGGTTTAACTAGATATTAGTATGGCAGGACGGGTGTACCAAATTGAAAGGGCACGATCCAGCTTTGAGCTATACTTTATATTCATAATAGAGTGTTCATAAAATTGTCGCGGCTCCAGGATTGACATCCTGAAAGGTACGCCAACTAACACGTCGTGTGGTCCAAAACAAGCTATAAACAAGCCCAGCGACTTTCTGCATGACTCATCTTCTTTTCAATTTCAGATCCACTACACAGCTCCTCTGCAAGACATGAAGGATGTTCCACGGACGGACTACAAACCTTCATACTTGTCCGCGTTCAAACGAGCCCTTCATAAAGCCACAAAAAACTAATACGCAATTAAAAAAACAAAGGGGGAGGCACAAGCGACTTTGAACATACACGTCATTTTCGTGTATTCCACTCCAAATACGATGTTCGAAGTTGGCATCTTTGCTTTACCTCTCCTGTGCATTCCCTCAGACATTCTTAATGTTATGACAGGCCGTTGTTTTTACTTAAAAAGGACTATCGCAGCGGCCTTGGAAGGCACACATGCTGATTTATGAAAGACATTGTACGGTTAGGTAAGTAATCAACTCCAACAGTATTTCACCAAATAATGTTAAAATGTAAAATCATATTGAGTATCTACTTGAATGCTCTGTTCAAGTTGTCAAGGTTGCAATAAAAGTTTGCACTTCTTAGTTCAGTTCGAAAGCAGCGTCATTTATTTATGTGGAATGGAGATTTGGACAAGTTGGTATGAGTTCATCGTGAAAAACCACGCAAAAGAAACAAGGACAAAAAGGAAGGACTACACAGGGCAAGCGCTGACTAACAACTGATTTTTTTTTTTTTTTTTTTTTTTATATATATGCGGATGGCGTTATGTTCGCTCAGGCATAGGGCGCACCGTGGATTTTGCACTTCTTTCTTCTTCGTTTCACACTCCACATGCTAACCAAGATCCAGAAAATGAATCTCACTGTTCGTTAGAGTCAGTAAAATTTTGCTCATGCAAAATGATTTTTTTTTTTTTTTTTTTTTTTTTTTTGGTGGGGTTTGGTGTTCGCACAATACGGGGGTGTTGGAGAACCGCGGTTCGTACCTGCAATCTCGACAGTGCATCGCTAAATGCGAGTATGCGGTCCCATTCAACGAACTTTGGTGTTCTCTAAGTCGAATGTTTAGGCATTGCCCCGTTTGCCCAATATAGGAGCGCCCGCACGAGAAGGAGATCATGTAGAGTAGACCGTGCCTTTTACTCAGGTGACGAATTCGATGCGGTGCTTGACGCTGAAGCTGTTACGATCCGCTCGCTCCTTTTTGCCTTTGTGTCGGTTCACCACGGAGCGTAATTAGTCTAGTTCGTTGCGGGCAGACAAAACCACGTTCACTTCGTATCTAGATGCTACCTTTTTTAAGTCCGTGCGACATGCGGTGTATATATGGAATGATCGCAACCTTCTTATTTTCCATCTTTAACGATTCACCCCAAGCTAAACCGACCTTAACGGTTTTTTTTTTTTTTTACTAATTTCTCGCAAGCTGCTGAAATGACTGAGTCTGGAAACCCTGAAGCTTTGATCCTTTCAATATGGACTGATCTAATCAACTGCACTAATCTAGTCAACTAAGAATAGAGTAGTACTACCTCGACGCACTTCCATTATTCCTTTTACCCTCTACTATGGTCAATAAAGCGCTTACATATCTCTCTTCAATCTGCAGGTTGAAGCCTATGTTCATTTTGCGAATACACGAATTGATTAATGTGGATCTTAAACAGGAAAATGCGATGCCTTTCTTGATTAGTTCTGAATGTGCTTGCTGATAGTCTAGCAAACGTTTTGCTGATCTAGGGTGGTACGACCAGCATATATGTGTTCTTTTTCTAATTCTACAAGACCTAAAAACTGGATATGCTTGTCTTTTGGGGTCTATATATAAACCGAAGTCCTAGACATAGCTCACTGAATACTTTCAATACTCCATTTAACGGTTTTCTTCTTTTTTTTTTTTTGTTTTTAATGAAAACCAAATGTTGCTTAGTAAGGGTGCCACCCTCGATCCTATACAGACTCCTGACTTTTGTACGAAAACATTATCTTGTCATCCTATAAAGAAATTATTGAACCGAGATTCCGCATTGTGTTATGAACTTATTTTCGTCGATGTGCTCTAAAATGCACTCTCGAACGCTCAATATGAGGTCATCGCGAGGCATAGAACAGTATAAATCTTCCACACCAGGGCTAAAAGTACTGCACCCCTGGGTTATCTTTCAGAAATTCGACCACCGCCACGGAGCTGGGGTTTTAAAAAGGGGTCAAAGATTAATGGGGAGTAGATGTGTTTTTGCAGATATCCTCATATCGCATGTTGCCAAGTGTCTTTTTCAGAAACAATGGCACGTAGAGGAATTTGAGGCTTGTGGGTTTTTTGCCGTGAAGAATACTGTAAATTTAATTTTTTGTTATGTTAACGTAATTTAGTTATGCACACGAGTGGCCATTTATATGTAAAGTTTTCTGATGCTCAGCACGTGGGTGACAAACAAGCCTATAATAATAAAACTGATTCTGGAATTTAGGTTCAAGATTTCATTCGTCCACTGCAAAAGCGGATTCGGTGTCAGATTCAACATTATCACTGATGGAAGCGGCACCTTTTGTTGTAGGTTTCGTAGCAGACAAAATACTGGTTTGGAGCAGATATCAACATCTGTTTGCTCATCACTTGAAAATTCAAACAAAAAATGAATGCATCATTAAATGGAACACGCATCATTCTAAGAAATAAGTCCCAGGTAGGAGTAGGTCCTATTAATTGGTATTGTAGTATTTTTTTTGCTGAAAAATTAAGCATAACGCTGCAGCTCAGTTGAGATAAAGCCTCTTTCCCCCTTCCCCTTTCACACTCAGTAGCTTATTTAGCCTGTCATAATCCTCCAAAATGCCAGAAAAAAAAACCAGCATATTTGCCAAAACGTCTATAAGAATACATACCCCCAAAGTTTTCTGAACTTACCAAAATCATTACTCTAATATCATAAACTGCAATAACAACCATCCACAAATAGAACAAAAAACTACAGTCGTAGTTTGAAAGTGGCACTACGCTTTAGCGGCGCTGAAAGCAGAGTTTAGTCAAAGCTCGGTGCCTTTTCGATGGACCGTTGCGCCGTGAACTACCTTTACTACAGTATTTATTAAAATATAGACCCGCGTTTTTTTTTGTGTTTTTTTTCCCTTATTTTTTTTTTTTTGGCACACTTTTTAAATTAAAGGTCAACCTACAATAAAAAATAAAAAAAGTTCGAGGTACACCGGTACACCTAAGCATTTCTTATGAGTTGTGAATACGAAAGCGTGCAAGGCCGCTCGTCCGCTCCCTTTTTCGTCTGCTGCGTACTTTTCGTCGCCGGTCAGCGCGCGTGCTACCCTGGGCACGCTGACCTTGGACGCTCTGTGTTAACAGCGCGCTGATGGACACGCAGCGCCATGGGGTGAGCGGTCGTGGAAACTGACGAGCGCAGCGGCCAATGGGAGCCCCGTCGACGCGCGCCAGCCAAAGGAACCGAAGGAAACTAGGTGCCGTTTTCGCGCTTCATACTGATGACGTCAGCTCACTCCATAGCGAGTTTTAGTAGACCGTGTTTTCCGCCCCGCTAAGCCCCTCCGCTACCCGGAACTGTACAGCCAAGGCCATCGGCGCGCACGCGCAGTGTCGGTTTCTTCGTAGCGGAGGGCTAGCGGAGGGGGAAACACGGTCTGCTAAAACTCCCTATTAAAAGTACATTTGTAACGGTACTGTGCCTAATTTTCGAAAAAATCGCGCTAACCGATCGCTCCCCCATGTCAGCCACTGCTCGTAGGACTCCGGTGCAAAGAGATGAAACTCGACGCAAGCGCGATGGCGGGAGGCAGTGAAAATAGACATCGGGAGGCAGTGAAAATAGACGCCCGTCGCGCAAGTAGCCACATGAAGGCATATGGGTGGCAGATATATTTCAAATAATCCCATCAAAAGTAAAAAAAAAAAGTTTTGTTTTATACGGTAGCCGCCATTCCACATGAAAAATATGAAGTAGAAGTGACAATATTCCAAAGCGATATTAATGGATTATTGAATTGGTTTACTGAAAATCGTAATTTGTAAATTCGAAAAAGCCAAATTGCTGTGCTTTAGAAATCCCCTCAAGAGTGTTTTATTGAATCATTCTTTCTTGGAAACAAAGAGGTGCAGGATACTGCATTGAAATATCTGGCTCGCACAAAATTTCTGGGACTAGATTTCGACAAACACAACTTAGGAATGTCACGATGATTACATTAAAAAAAAAAAAAAATATTAAGAACTGTTTCCTTTAGATACCACATTGGTACTTCAGCATGTGCTCATGCAAAGAAAAATATTTATTGTGCCTTAGGTACCAAGATATGGCATTTTGGTTTATGGATCCAGCTCAAATAAGATTACGAACCGCAGATAAACTTATAGGATAGTAAACAATATTGCATATGACACACAAGTTCAACATATAGAGCTCATCCACAAAGTTGAGGCATTTAATATAATGCCATTATTTTATTTAAATATATAGCTATAACAAATTATTTTCCAGTGCAGAATATGAACATCCGGTACAGAAAAGGCTTCTCAGAAATATAGGCAAATATTATTTATCAAGGATACATACGCATTAAGGGAAAAAGAATGAAGTTTTTATGTCCCTTATATTTTCAATGAAGTACCAGGAGAAATTTAGTCTACCCTTTTAAAGAAGTTAAAAACAAATTCAAAACATGGTGTTCGAAAAATCAAATGTAGACATTTTTATATACATTGATGTTTTTATAAATTACTTCCGTCTTATCTGTGTAGCCTAAATTTGTTGTATTGAGGCAGAATTGTTTTGTTCTACGTGCTTACATTAAAAGTTGTCGTTTTGTTTTTTGGTTCCGATAGAGAAAATTCCTGCTTCTTCGGTGGGCGTGATATTTTGCATGGCAACTGCTTGGTTCTGGTAACAAAATAAAGCGGTTTTCTTTTTGTATATTTCTTGACTTTAAACCAGCAGACTTGTACATATGGCAGGATTATGCAGACGCCAAGGGCCAAAGGAACAAGCTTACTAAGCTTTGGCAGAAATGGAGACAGGCAAAACAGGAGGGTAAAAGCTGGAGTGCACGACCGCAAGAGATGTCAACTCCACGTTCCATTCCCACCTGGGCGCAAGCTTTGGCACTATGTTTACGCCGTCGAGGCAAAAAATGCATACCAAATTCACCCGTGCATTATAACGAAGCAACACACAATATTGTCAGCAATGTCTTTGCACAAAAATGCAAGAGTGGACATTTAAATACCCGACGCATGTTTGTGCACTACCCTGCTTTCCTAAAGTATGCAGCGTCAAAGGACACTTGGCATTTGGTCTAACTGCAGAGCTGGCACCATCCAGCTGCGACGACGTTCCACGGAGGAAGATGTTTGCAAGTCTCGATTATTTATTCTACGTGGTGTTGAACTATTGCAGCTCTGGATAGGTTGGCACGGTTCGTGGCATCCACTGCACTCCGCCATAAGGTGAAACGGAGCTTAGAAGGCTAAGTACTTCAGCGGTGCACTCTAGCACGGCGATCGCACCAGCGCCACTGGCATATCAGTGTGCCACGTGCCGAAAGCTGTTCTTCCCTCCAACGTGCAGAGGCAAACAAGAAAGGGGCGAGGTAGTGTGAGGTTTTTCTTTTTTAATGAACGGAGGTCTACTTGTGTTCCGTCTTCTCCTTGTGGGCGGCCGCCTTCCTCTGGGCCACCAGGACGTTGCTCAGCTCGTCCCTCTTCCTCTTGCCACGGAGGTGGGTGCCCAGCTGAAAGCACAATGCACGCCCCCGTTGAGCGCAACGGCCACCAAAACAAACGTCGACTCTTTATCGCGAGGCAGGAGGCAGTAAAGAGAATGGAAACACAAAGTGCATCTGATGTCGCAGGAATGAGTCTTGTACGGACACCGGGACAAACGGCCACTCTTACTGCGAGAGGAGACAATGAAAAGCTACCAATGCAAAAAAAGGATCTTCAGTGTCACACAAATGAGACCTTCACTCATCTCACACTACAAAATCAAGAGAGTTTTCAGAGCGTGAACCGTTAGAACAAACAAACATTCCATAAAAATAAAATAAACCGAATTCCTGACTGCCTTCAGACTGGCAAAAAAAAAAGCAGTTGTAGGTATATCATTTAGGGTCACAAACTGGATAGTTAATTTTCTAACTTAAAGGGGCCCTCCTATGATTTTTGGACTAGTCTGAAATTTGCACTGAAACTGAGTTCATCGTGTAGACGCCCAAAGAAAATATGTTTTTCCCGGAAATCCTCATTATTCTGGGGGTAATAAGCAAATAAAAAATACAAAAAACAAGCAAAACATCTTCACTCTGAGGCACATTAGCCCTTTTAATCGCTATGTACACAAATGTGCACATCTGAAACCCTCACTTTTATACAGGAATGTATTGCATATTGAATCATTTTAACAATTTTTGTGGGATTTTAGGCTCTATGTCTGACAACCAAAGTTTGCAAAGAAAATTCCAGTGAAATGTTTTTTTCGCAAACAAAGATTGTAAGAATTGTTTTCCCCCACGATCGATGGCAAACGCAATATCGAAAGGTTACAGAAAATTAATTTATTGGAGGGCCGAAGCAAAGCGGCAGGCCGAATGACTGTGGGTTAGGTTTGTGGCAAGAGTTGAGGACGGGTATGCACAGTCACCAAAGCCCCGTGCATCGCCCTAGATTAAGGCTTCGACCGATCGCACCGACGCAGAACGACGTCTGTCATTCATAACGCCACTCCTCACTGCGCCGAGAAAAGCTTGACAAAACGTGCCTAGAGTCCCGCGCACTCTGCTCCCCTTTATATCCGTTTCTACCAATCAGGATCGGTGTGATCAAAGCTGCAATTTGGTGCAGGGGTAAGCCACACCGCAACAGGTAGGCAAAAGAGTCAGATGATCGGGATAACAAGTGCAAATAAGCACAATCCACCGTCGACTTCCACAGACAGATCCACACTTGGCATTTGTTGTTTTGAGCGGGAACGGCTGCCGGCACATACTAATAAGTCATGATCCTATATGGCTTCTACGAGAGGTCGTCCTGGATTTTAATTAACTCTAACCTACGGTACATCGTCCACTTTCAAGCTCTTGTAGGCACCCCGGGCAAAAAACGAGGCAAGAACAACAAATTAAAATCACAGAAATGAGTGACCTGGCAGACCCGGGTTAGGTTGTTCAGCTCCTGGGAGGCAGGAGTCTCTATAGTGTTTTTTTTTTTTCTTCCTGTTTCTGAACATTTGAAAAAAGCTTTTTCTCTGCGTTTCATCTTTACCCCTCAATAAAAAAACACATTTTGGAAGAACGATCTAGTCTATTGAGTGATATGCTTAATTTCACCCGCATAAAAGAAATTAACGGCTGTCGCCAATGCTGCCAATCACAAAACCGTTCACCGGTTCTCCCATGACGTCACCACTGCGCCCGCAGCTGCGAGTTTTAAGCACACTGTGGCACCACCAGACGTTGTGCCGTTTTTTGCCAGATCGAAATAACATATGATGCGCTAATATTTTGCGGCTACTTTTCTGATTAGCCCGACCGACTGAGTTATTAGCATACCAAACATCGTTGGAGCGCCTCTTTAAAAATTTTGACTCACAAACATGTTTCCTCTTGCCATATGATTCTGCACGCATCTGCCGTTTTATTTATTCGGTTTGCTTCTTTTCCCGACTTCCGTAACGCTTACTACTCCCGTTATTTGAAGTGTTAGAAATGGGGCTAGGTGTCAAGCGGCCCACAAAGTTGTAAACAATGTCCCAAATTCACTACACAAATAATTGCCGGATACTCTTGCCGAAAAGAGATTGCTACTGCCACAAATAGCCAGTAACAGAACTGACGGAGCCCACAGACCTCTCGCAAAAACAAAGCAATCCTGTTTCGGTCATGATGACATCCCGTCGCAGCCATTTTTGAATTTCTTTTCATAAATTTGTGGTGTTGTCTACCAATACAAATAAAATGTTGCAGCAAGTTTTTTTTTTTTTTTTTTTTTTTTGGGGGGGGGGGGGGGGGCTTTTGACGTGCCGAACTGTGCGCGCAGGCAAAGAAAAGAAGAATATTGTAATGGGCCGATCATCCTGCTCCGTTATCTAAGGTCCTAGGCTGCTTAAATCATCCACGAGCCAGAAGGGTGGCGCTGCACTAGAGAGTGGTAGCCACAAACGCATGGCACGCGGCAGGCCTTACCCCTACTCCTCGCTAGGCTGGTACTTACGGCCGCTGGAGGTCCGTGTTTCAACGGGGATTCTCAAAGATGACGGGGCGCAGTGCAACCGAGCGCCGACTTCATTCTCATCCAGTGCTGAGATGCACAAGTTTGTCAACGGGGCAATCGAAATCATAACTATGGTACACCTCTTCCTCGTGGCCAAGGAGGTCCCATGATGCAACGTGCAGTGTTGCATGCAGTTATTTTTTTAAACTAGCCTATTGCTCCGCTTTTGTATTCTTTTGTAATTGCTACACTACAACATACCTGCCAACCTAGCAACATAAAAATTCAAAAGACCGCCGCGCGCAGGGGGTGGAAGGGGGGGGGGGGGGGGGGGGTGAAGTATTATTATTTCTTTTTTGTTTGACAAAAAACCCTGTTAAGAGGCACTCTGCGCGAATCACACTGTTTTCGCAGTTGTTTTGGAGTAAACTGCCGGTAGTGCCCTGCCCTTCTACGGCACGAGCATGGTTCCGATGCTTTTATGAAGTGATGTGCATCTTGATGTCAAGCTTGCCGCCGTGCAAAACGCTCACACATCACAGGCGCACATGGTACAGAACCCATAATTATCAGCTTACCGCCAAGCGACAAAGCACGGAAACACAGTCGCGTATGGTCTCAGAAATACTTGCAAGTACTTGTTCTTGGCTTTTGAAAGTGCCATCAATCGTTCCAACAGATCAGTGGTTCCAACTAGACTCGGGGAAACACAAAGAGTAGTTCGGCGTTCCGCACCTCACTCGACGACCTAACAAGGCCAATTGAAGCCTAGCGCACCCATGGTCATATAGACGCTTTGCAGCAGCTGTGCATTGACGCCGCCATAACTGATTATCAGTTTTGGTTTCCTCTTATTCCGTTTATTTCACTTCATCATTACCATGGCAGGCCAGGTTATCGCCACATTATATTCAACTGTGTCCTTTTCTAAAGCATCGGCCTTTGTAGAGGATCGTCAACTACCGTTTCAGTTGCTTGGCATCTCGGTAAGACAAGAGAAGGTCGGCTATGGCGGCTGTAATTTGGCGCGTGTGTAAAGCGTCTATAAGCTGTGTGGTCTGGGAATTCTTCTCCCCAACTGTACATAAAAAAATGGTTTATGTAGGAATGTTTTATAGTCAGATGAGGTGCGAACAGTGTTCGCGGTACATAAATGGACAGCAAAAAGCTAGCGAACGTTTTCTGGAAATCACTCGGCACCTGTTGTTTTTAAGGTGACAGAAGCGGGGCTCACCCTCTTCTTGATGAACTTGAGGGCACGTTTGTCCTTGGACACCTTGAGCAACTCCATGGCCCGCCTTTCGAAAGGCGCGAAGCCGCACACCTCGCGGATCAGGTCGCGGACGAAGCGGGTGTGCTTAGAAAGCGCCTGCGAGAGGAAAATGCGCATACACTTTTAGCAGAACCCATCTTCATTCAGCAAGGACTCTTGGGCAGGCTGCCAGTCATTTCACTGAAGCACAAATGAGCCATGTATTATTTTGCCTCTCGCTGCGAAAACGGACATGGCATGGAAAATTACCGCATCCATCAGTACTCGGCTTAGTCGGCACTTGGCATAAACAGATTTGGAAAACTCTAGCATTGCTCATCAACAAACATGACAGCAACGTGCGCACGCACACATCACATTGCCGTGAATCACCCACGTCGGCGTTTGCCTTCTTTTGCGAAGAAATCTGGATAACCACACGCGCTATTTGCAACAGACATGCCGCGACAGGCTAAAACGTAGTTCGCCAACAAAATACGTGGCAAACTGCCCTAAAACTGCTAGCTGCTCGCACCAACTTGAATCACGGGAGCAACAGAGGTAACATCGACTTCACTTACTCCCTTCCTTCGCGAAGGCCGAGGCTTGTACTCGTTCTTCGTGACTTTGTGGCCCTTTCCGAGGCCTACGGCGAGTTTGTACTGCACCCCCATGCCTGAAAACAAGCAAGAATCAAGTTAGCGAGGTGAAAACAGCACGTATGCCCAGTTAGCGGCGTACTACCGAGTAGGGTCGGCGTGAAATACTAATCTAATAATTTCAATCAAAATGAAATAATTAATCAGACTTATTAACAACAACATCCGTAACATAGCAGCGCGTAAACCGTACCTTTGAGGTTATAATTAAGTAAAGATTAACACGGATTCCTGTGAAAGATGAACGAAATACACACCTTGTTCTTTTAATGGCGGAAGCAGAAAGGAGCGCAGAATTCTGGGAAGAGTTGGTTTTCAAAATTATTGTCCCGAAAGAAAACAAAACTTTCTTATTATTAATCCTAGAACGTGTATTTACTAGAAATTAAGTGTATTTGTTGCATTTAAGTTGTAATTTTATTTACACTGAGCTACTTTTTGTTATTTCGGTGTGGCACAAATTCTACGCTAGGGGGCCAATTAGGTCAGTCAGTTTTAAAAATGGCGGCTGCAGTGGGCAAACATGTGTCCGCTACGCGAGTATTAAATTCTTTCACTAAACTGTACAGCTCCTATTTCCATCTTTCGCGTAAGTTCTCGTTGAATTGCGGCTCTCGTTTACGTAATTCCAAGTCTCGATTGGGATAAAAGGGAACTAAAAGCGAGATTTGCCTCTATTAATTCTTGATGAGTGTCGCAACTCAGACCACTTCAATAATTCAATAAACCGATAACACGCCCGTTCCTGTGCAACCGTATCGTACACTAATGGATTATATTGCGTACTTGTAGAAGTTATTAAGCTATGCGGTTCATATGCAATGGGGTCGATGAAGTGAGCAAACACTTGACAAAATGAAACTCCTAAAAGTATTCGCTAACCTCGCTTGATCTTCCTCCTGAAATCCAGTGGACTAACCTTCGATTTACTTTTTTCTCTTTTTCACAGATACACGGTCTTTATATGGAGCCTCGTTTCTAGGACTAGACAAATACCTGGAGCAACGGGAGCGAACCCGGCAGCAATTCACCGGCTCCAAAGGTGACCCACAAATTGCAGTTACTTAGTTCTACAAGTAATGTCGCAACTTCAATTATATATTGAAAAAAAAAAAAAAAAAAAAGCTTTTTTTATAGTTATTACTAAAACGTGTATTATATACGCCGGGGAAAACCTGCAAGTATGTGCACACTTTTTATATATATTTTTAGGTGTCTAATGGCACGGTTGCAACTAACTTACGGTTTGATATCTTTTACAAAATGACATATTTACTTGACCACTTTATCCCCTGGGACGCGTCATGACATGCATTCATTTACTGTGCCTTTGGCGACAATACAGAATTTTCGTTTTGCTTTCGTGTATGATAGAGTGTACTGTTGTACAGGTCTCTTGGCTGTTAAAAGGCGCTAAATAAACTTACTCTCTATATATCTATCTTCTCCCTAACCCAATTGCGCACGTGAAGCAATTTTTAAGGGACGCTGATGACGCTGCCCTATCTTTGTTCCAGACAAGTTCTTTCAGCGCATCAGCCAGTACTTCAATGCGGAAGGTGCGGGCACTGGTATGGTCTTCACGGAAGACTTGAAGCACGTCGTCTGCTTGTGCGAGGACAAGGAGGAGGACATTGACCTGGTCATTCGGATGATGAAGAGGTACCACATCAATGCCCTCTCTGAGGTTATGTTTGGCATTAATAGTCCGTAAGGAATGCATCATATTGGGGAAACAATGAGGATGACGGACAAGCACAGAGGTCTCAGCCACGATACGACAGCATTTTTCCGCCCTAGTTAGTTTCGTCGATCTCGGGTATTTGCCCTGAGCCCACATCAGCACATCTGCCTTCTTACTTCAGCTTTGACTGCTTAAAATAGGTGATTGAGTGACCGCCTTGGCAGCTTAATTGAAAAGTTAATCTCAAAACAAATTTTTGTGAAGGAATGTCAAATATTTTAGTTGAAAGAGGTGTTTACATAGATATCAAACTTAAAACAAACCTTCATCAAATTCAGCTCAACCCACCCTGTTGCACGATGAGTGGTCTTTATTTGTTGCCACTCACACACCTTGGTTCTTGCATCTGGTCACCCAGTTGTTAACAGTGATTATCACCTCTATCCAGTTTGAGTCTTAGAAAATTCTATGATCATTTCATGGGTGTGCTTCTCACGGGTGTACGCAGGTTTAACCAGCAGAACAAGGAACTTCGGTTCGGCACCTTTGTCTTTGGACCCGTGGCCCTCCGCCTCTTCTACCACCTCCGGAAGCCGGATATCGTCGTCCAAGTGCTCAAAGATGAGGTGACTTCAACTTAAATAGTTGTTTTTTCATGCGAGACAACTAACAATGCTAGAGGAAAGCGTGAATAACGTCCTAGAGCACAGTCGAAATGATGAAAGCTTGACAAGAGACATTATCCATGTTTGTTGTTTTTAACATTAGGTTCCCAACAGGTGATGGCATCAAAAACTTGACTGTATTTAGAATTCTTTTGTCAGTTTCTGTTGTTGGAATTGGTGCGGTGGGCCGTGTGAATGCAACGGTCTTCTAAATTATAAAAAATTAAACTGGCCAGACACGATGAACTATAACCCTGAGGCTAGGGAGAAAGACGACGACGAAGGAGAGGAGTCTCAATTGAGACTCCCGTCCGTCCTCTCCTTCGTCGTCGTCTTTCTCCCTAGGGTTATGCCTCATCATGTTTAATCATCACCTGCTCGTTTGCACCCTAACAGGCTGGCCACTTCTTGTGATGATTTTTAAAGAAGCTGAAGACATCTGGCACATTCAACAATGCAGACGGGTCTTTAAAACTGGTGCCAGCCGTTGTCTCCACAGCCCGAATGCGAGAGCGTCTTTCTTGTTTTGAAATCGCTCCCCCGTTCCCTGTCCGAGCCAAGACCCGTCGGCGTCCATTTCAGGAGCTGGACGGCTTCTTCGACCAGTTCTCCTCGTACCAGATAGCCATGGACCTCCTGTTCAAGGAGCAGCGCTACCAGGATGCCCTGGACGTCTTTGCCAGCATCCAGAACAAGCAGCTGTATGGCACCAAGTACCCCAGGGAATGCATGGTGCTTGCTCTGGCCTCCTGCTACAAGCTGGTGAGTGGCAGGGCACCACCGGACAAGGCTGACTCACAAATTTGCATTTGAGCATAATCGACCGTACGGTGACCGCCTACAACGGGAGGGAGTGGATGGATGGACACGGCCGAACCCTTCTAATTGGGTTGCAGCTTGTGCCACCTGGCCGGGGCACGCTGGCACTTTTGGGCCGCCCTGGAAGCTAAAGGTTTTGCGCTATTTGCGAGATCGTGTCTAGGCACTATCTACGAGATATTGTCGCTTCTAACATTGCCAGAATTATTTCGAGCCTACGGTGGAAGAACGACGCGCACAAAATTGTAAAGACGTATGTGCAGTTCGGAAGTGTGCAAGGGCTACTCGATAGGTGGCGCCAGAGTCTGTTTTTTCGTCATAAGCGGTTGCTAGGAGACATATTGAACTCAAGCACATTCAAGTGCAAATGTGTGAACCAGGCTTCGAGTTTCTTATGGCGTGCCGTCAGAGTCGCCGGAAGCATCCGGAATGCCAGGGGAAGCTGCAGCCGTCTCGTGTCCACTCCAAAGCCAAAACATAAGACCAGGAGATTTCTAGAATGTCGCATAGTTAGAGGATGCCTTCGAATAATCTGTAGATGTTTGGGAACAAATATTTTGAGCAATACGAAAAGGGTTAGACAGGACATGTCATGCAATGATATGGGTTTTAGTGAACCAGTATAGACCAGGGTAATTAAAATTGTTGCCAAGAACAATGTGCTAACAAGAAAATTAGCTGCGACGGAAGTGCTGCGACATTTGCGCCGAATTGTGCAACGAACAAAAGTCTGCTCCATCTTGCGCCGAAGTGCCACTTTTGCACTTCGGCACATTGCGCCTCACCTGCGCCGAGATTCATTTATTTATTATTTATTATTTGTGGGGATGATTTTAGGGAAGTTTTTGAAAACACTATGACAAGTGGAAAAAGAAAATGCCATTATCATCAATGGACACAATTTCTTCCGGGAGGTCGTTCCGCTCTCTCGCAGTTTTGACAAAGAATGAACTAGCAAAACTTTCAGTCCTGTAAGTGGGTAGAGCAACCTTTTAAAATGATCACTTTATAATGACATGGGCTTAAAGGAGCTGTGCAACGATATTCAGTTGGAATGTTTTTCTCTCTACACGAGCTTACTGGCACACCTGGGACTCAAGGATGCTCACACGCAACGCCACGGGCCAAGAAACTCCTTTGTTGCGGTGCCATTTCAAGGACAAAAACGATCATTTTCATTCAATCTCTCCTTTGCAAAATTTGATGACGTAACTCGGGGATCGCAGTACACCCAAGTGACGATATTTGAATGCGGTTCATAGATTGGACCCGAGCATTGCGTGGGCACTCGACTTGGGCTCGTGACAATTGCTAGCTCGAGAAGCATTCGGGTTGTGACCCGTGTCCAATCGCTGCAACGACGACAACAGCCGAGCCATAACAATGTCTGGAACTCAGCGCGTGTCCTCCGCTTTGCCAACCCCAGCGCGTGGCTATGATCAACACTGGCGGCATATAATCGGCTCCGGATCACATGGCCGCTTGTTCTGGCTGCGAGTTGAGGGGGTAAACGCTGCTCGTCTTTCTTTAATTTTTTTCTGGGACTTCTATTGCGTGGGGTGAAAAACGAACGCGTGTTTCATAGGTCATTAACATTAGGGATCCGTTTTAAGCGGTATTTGCGCAAAGTACAAAAATTGTTGCATTGCTCCTTTAATTAAGCGAAGCAAAAAATAATGATATTGATTATTGGTCAGTCCTATTTAATCAGAGAAGTAGGTAAAAGGAAAATTTTACAAATGTGTATTTCACAGCATCTCGCCATATATTTTGCTCTATTTTAGGTCCAAGCCCAGTTGAAGGCTCAAATATAGACCATAAATACACATACTAAAAGCGCAAGTCACGGGGCATTCGCTGCGCTTGATTGGTGTAGCCAATGAAGGAACGCGTAGAAAAATATGACGAATGCCACGATGTCGCACTTTTGACGTTGTTTGATTGATCTCATTCGCTCGTAGTGGCAGCTGCGATTCGACTTAAGACAAAACAAAACGTAGAGTACTAAGATATTGAGGTGGGCTAGTTGGATCCTCAATATCTTATAGCGCTTGTCCTGTCTACATGTTCTGTCCTTTGTCTAACCTTTGCGCTATTTAATTTTAACAAAACATAGAGATTGCTCGTGAACCGCGCTGGCCCCGTCATCGTCTGGATATTCACCCATGTCGGGGATGTCAGAAACTAAGAGACGAAAAAAAATTGCAAAAAGTGGGATGGTGGCTGCCGTGTTGACACAGAACCGGGGCCTTTTGCTCCCGACGAGATCACTCTATTATCATGTCTTCCACGTGCCTCCATGTCGTTGCTCCATGCGAGCTTCAACGCTGTGCACCAGAGTGCTAGGAGCAGCGCGGCTGGCTCGGAAGTTATGCTCAGTGCTATTACAGGACGACATTCTTTGGTCTTTGATTCTAAAAAACTGTACCTAGAAAGAAAGAAAAAGATTTTAAGAAACTCGAGTCTATGTTTGAATAAACACAGTAGTCGAGGTAGTTTTTGCGCAGCAGTCATTCAAAAGGGCAGCGAACTTTGACTCAACTCTGGTTCCGACACTGCAAAATTGCAGTGTCACTTTTAAAGCACAATTGTTGGTTTTCTTAATATTTTTGGGTGACTGTTTCTGCAGTTTATGTTAATTAGAATCTTATTTTTGGTAGATTCAAAAAATGTGTGTTTGTGTGTGGGGGGGGGGGGGGGGGGGTAACATATTTCTATTGATATACGTTTTAGCTTAAATGCTAGGTTCCGCTGGCATTTTACAGGAATTATGTTTATAGGCGAAATAAACTAACCTACTGTAAAAAGGTATTTACAGGTGAAATAAACTACCGACGGTATAAGTGTTTACAGGCTAGTAAACTACCGAGTCTAAAAGGGGAAGGAGAAGAGAGTCTCTATCTCAACTAAAGTGTTTTGCTGTTCTTCATTTTTCAACTATTCCTAATACCAATTAATCGTAAGTGGAACCTGCTCTGACCTGAGCCCTATTTTGAAAAATAAGGCTGTGAATTCCATCTAGCAATGCAATCATGTTTTTTGGGTTTTTTTTCATGTGATGTGTTAAAAGATGTTGAAATGTGCTCCAATAGTGTTAGTGGCTGCTGCATACTAATAATTTGTCTGCCACTAACCCTACTACAAAACGTCATGTGTTGCTTCCATCACTGATCTAGTCATTTAGTCTTTGAGAAAATTATGAAGAAAGTCAACGAGTTCAAGCTTGTCCGATGTGTGGAGGGCAGTAGAAGGCTCCTATAATTACGAAATCGTATTATATCCGGATCTGTGGTAATTTTAAGTAATTTGAGTTTCAGTACAGGACGTGCACTTTTTTTGCAGCATTGAGAGCGCGACCACCTCTTTTGGTTTTGCAATCATCCTGTTTGATCTGTTTGGTCGATTTCTCACCGACAGAACACGAGAGAGCACTACGAATACGCGGTGCGACTGGTGCAAGAGGCTAGGTCAGTGGGAGCTCTTGTGTTGCGCAAGGGTCTGGCCTTTGCAGCTGCGCTTGCCATCAACCACGTGAGTCGTTACTCTTTCTTGGGGCGTGCCTTTGAGTCGGGCGTCATTCCTGTGGTGGAACGGCCGGGTTTTTTTACTTTTTTTGCAGAATGAACCCAAGGTTGCCATGGAACTGTTGGCGCTTACAGCACAGCTGAACTACATCACTGTTCTCAACCTCCGTGTAAGTTGACAGTTGCCTTTTTTTTTTAAACTGGGTATTAGAACTTATGATTTTTTGCATGTGAACGCAGTTGTGATCAAAATGCAAGAGAATACAAGACCACTGTCAGTCCAATATTTTTGAAGTCCAACTTGGGTGTTTAGTTATTAAAATACCATAACACACAGATGCACACGACTTGCACTTATCATCACTGAAGCTGGTTAAACGTGCGTGTGAATTCCAGTGTCTTTTGTCTGTAACTGACAGGTCACTAATGAGAAAGCTTCCTTCATCTTTCAGACTACCAAAATTTTTAATTTATGGCACGCAAGAACACTACATGGTGTACATTGAGCGACATAGCATCTCATTATTGCTTCGAACCACAGGAAAACTACTATGCAGGGATTAATACAGAGAGATAAAGACACAGTAAAACCGACTACAGACATACAAGGTACCACCCGCCAAGCTAATATTTTTCTCGAAGAAAAAGACCACTTCACTATTAAATGGTTCTACTGCAGCAGAAATATTTTAAGAGTGCATTCGGAATAAAAAGAAGTAGAGAACACATAATGGAGCATCTTATAACCTTGGCTGTTGCAGCTTTTCCCGAGCTCCAATTTAAAGAAGTGTTAGGTCCCTTGGCACGTTTCAAGGCAACTTTGCTGACTTTGACGCACGGCCAGTAGGAGTAAATGGGAATATTCATTCCATGCACCATGCTGCAACCCCGCGTAACAGGCGACCCTCAATGTACACAGTCTTGATTTTGTCGGTGGCGCAGAGTGCAGACGTTCGAAGCTAATGGGAATCTGACTGTCCTATTCCATTGTGGCATTGCAGATGATGGCCCTGGCGGACCTGGACAGGTTAGAGGACGTGTTCCTGACACTGCGCTCCATCGTCCACCAAGACGTCCCGGTCCAGTCGCGGGTGGAGTACCAAGTGTTGCCTGAAACGGTGATTGGGGGCTCCTTGCTTTGAGACTCGTTGTCGCATCTTATTCGTTACCCTGATGCTATTGACAAGCCACTCGCGCAATCATTTGCCGTAGATTCTGGCGTAGAGCCACAGTTTCTCAAACACGAGGTTCAAACATCGACACACTTTGCATGCTCCTGGAACCTTGGAGTATAGAAATGAATCTGTTACCGACGTAGTGTGCAGTCGCTCCCATCTCTTGCCCACACAATGCTGGGGGCTGCCCTTTTGCTGAACACAAACAAACGTAGCTGAACTAGCAACCCAAATATTGGACCAAAATAATTTTTTTTTTCTCTCAAAGTTATTGAATTTTGGTTTTCACCGTGTTTTTCAAAGTGAAAGTCTTTTTTGGCAACGTTAGAAAAGTGACGTCGGGGAAGGCAGGTGTTCACTTTTTGGACTTTAGACTTTGTCCTTAACCGACCACAAACAATTGCGGGGTGTCAAATGAATGCTATGGAAGCTCGGTCCAGCACCCGCGCAGCAGCACGAAACAAATGCTTGGCATAGTCCATTTTTAGACTGTCTGCTTGACCTGCAAGCCTGCCTTTCCCCAACGTCGCGCCACTGAAAAGTTCGGGTAGTATATTTTAACGTTGGTTTTGGCATCATTTTCACTTGTCGATTTCACAATAATTATTATGAATTTCGCGATACTAAGTAGCCTACCGGAAGTAGGAAAGGCCGGTGATTCCGAAAATATAGCATTAGGGTAACTAAATAAATCACTCGAGTACCCCTTTAAAGGGATACTGACACCCTCCCCCCCCCCCCCAATCTTTTTTTTTATTTTGTGTCAAATGATTTTTTATGGTGTCAAAAGACTACCCAATCAATATTTTGCTATAGTGTCACATATATTTTTAATAAAGTAACGCAACTGCTCAAAACCAAAACCAAAACTGAACTGGGGAGGAAAAAGAATTATAGAGGAGGAGCAAGTTACCGGCTGTGCAACTTGTTTTCAATCAACCTATTTGCAGCTTTTTAGAAGCCACAAAAAATGGGTATCATATTTATTGTCTATTTTTAGTATTGAGTGTGTGCCTTTGATGACCCGTGACTTCAATAATCTTTGTTGGTTGTGTCTAAACCATAGAAAACGGTAAGGGACCACAAAGAGAGTAAGCGCGACTCAAACCGGCCTGTTCTTGATCGGTGGTTTTCGGGTGGAAAGAAAATGAATTTCGAGCCGGAAATTGTGTTCTGGGTAGTTGGGCTCTCATATCTCATGCACAAATAAAAACCTTGGCAAGCATAAATGCCCTGTCATTGTCCCTTTAAAGCTGCTTCACACATCTGCGTTCAAGCGATTGACTGCATTGCAGCCGCTCACGACTGCTCACGAAAAGCACCCGGAGCTCGTAGAAGAGACACTTTTTTCAGGTCATTCTAGGCTTCAAAAGCAATGAAAACAATCTTTGTCCTAAATCTGCTATTACACTAACAAAATGAAAAAAAACTGTCCATAGAGCTGCGCCTCTAGTAGCGAATGAACATGCGAGGACAGACATACACACTGGCGGCGAGGGTGGGAAAATGGTTCGAGCGCGAACAGAGCTTCTGAGCGTCAATGGACGTTCCTTCTTTCTGCCACGAAAGGTGATGAAGGTGGAGCAGAGCCTGGAGCGCCTGGGGGACAAGGAGAAGGCCCACATTTTCGAGCAGATGAAGCGGGCCCTGAAGGAGAACAACCACCTGTCGGAAAAGTCACTGGACGAGCTGCTCTGCCAGCCGCTGCAGCAGCGCCCGTTCAACAGGGACAGGGACCTCGACCGCACCGCAAGTAAGTCCGGAGACTCCGCTATTCATTCTTTGTAAAATAGGCTGCGCTTCGGAGTAGCAACACTTTGGCCATCTTGTCGTCTAAAGTCATTGTTGCCAGTTATGTGAAGCTTCATCTCTAATTGCAGGAAACGCTTTTCTGTTCTCCAGATACGTCAAACGCAGTCCGCGACAGAGAAAAATTATATAGCTTGAGCTCCCCAGCATGGTATCTAAAAGATTGTGAAGTCACAATTTCGCGTCACAACTATTGCTAGTTGCACGCGTTCTGCACCGGGCAACAGAATGGCGGCATCCACGAGACAGTCGGGATTGTTGACACTCTTAGCGTGACTTAAGTTAGTGGCTTTAGTTGAGGCTCGTCTCAAGTAGGGTTTGGATTTTTCCATCTGGATTACTTAACATTGATTGGCTTTAGAAAAATTGCCATATTTAGGAGTCTTGTCACTTGCCAAAGTGCAGGTGCCATACCGGCCATTCATCAGTGTGCACTTGTCAAACAAACGTACAAGCCAATCGACAGCCACGTCATCATTTGCGAGCCAAAACACAAATCTGTTGCGTCTTGTTGTGATACAAGTCGAGATAATACGGACAGCAAGGCGTCTGCTTCTTGCACACAAGTTGCGGTGACGTCAGAACGACTCCAAGCACTGATTTGCTTTGATTGAAAGGGTGGTGGGTAGATCTTGGTGCTGGATGCCTTGAGATCTACCCACTATTTTTTAATGCATTAGCATTAGAACGCTCATTTTGACGAAAACCCGGCGGTGTCTTTCGTTTGCAAGTGCCGGGGAGAGAGGAAGAAGAAGGGGGAGAGTGTGACGCGTGCGACACTCCCATTGGTTTGAAGCGCTGACGTCAGCACGCATCAATCTCTCCCTCTCTTCCCGGCAGTGACAAACTGATAGACACCGCCGGGTCTTCGTCAGAGTGAGCCCTTTCGTTTTTGGCAAAGTCACGTGCACGAGAGCCAGATAGGAGGCGCCGCCGAGCAACACCTCTTAGATAACAAAGCTGTACTGCTAAATGAGATGGAATAATTAGAGAGGGCCAACGCTGGACACAGATTGGAAATGAGTGCTGTGTCAGTGCTCGGCTTAAGTTTGAGCCAAATGTTGACGTAATCATCATGTCCATTCTGCCCAGCGTTGGCCTTCTCTGATGACGCCATCTCATTCAGCACTACAACTTTATCTAGGAAGTGTTGCGGCGCGGTGGAATGAGGACGTGCACAGTTGCCACTCCGCCGTCGCCAGTTCTTCGCTGTGGGTTTTCCTTAGTGGTGGTGCGTGGGCTGTGATGTATGTGTGTAGTTAAAACGATAGATGCGGTTCACTCCACGAGTGATATGGATGCAGTTTCTTCCACGAGTGGTACGGATGTAGCTCTTTCCACGAGTGATATGGATGACCGTATCCAAGGGTGTCGACGTACTCTGACAAGCAGACTACAAAAAAGGGGTGATAAAAATTACACAGGAAGATCCATTGGTGAATTTTTAGGGAATTCATTAGCATGACCCTTAAAAAATGCCCCACATGTCCTCCTTTGGAAAATGCAGAAAGAGGCAGAAAAAAATGGAGGAAGCAAAAGAGAAAGCCAAAAGAAGAAAAGTGAAGGGGTCAGCTTTAGCATTTTGAAGGGTCATGCTAACGCATTCTTTAGGAATCCACCAATGGATCTTCCTGTAATCGTTTCAATCGGCCAACAAGAGCTTGGCGTTCATCGCAACCCCCGTGCAAGAAGCAGACAAACTTGCACTCTGCACTGCATTGCAGTCTCTTTTCAACAATCGTATGTGCAGAGTTTCACTGTTTGGTTGATTCCAGGTTCTGGCATCGGGGGCACATACATGTCCGGGCAGCGTGTTTCAATCAGAGGTTCCCGAGGAGTGCAGCAGCACCCAACGAGGCACCGCCAAGGTCTCGGCGATGTGGACGATTAGCCGTGCACACTCCAGACGGGAGCTTAGTTTTGCTTTCCTACCGTTGTTTGCCAGGCTACCACGAGACAAGCAGAGATGCTCGCACCCTTTCATTAGCGAGAAGCAGTCTCTCAAATCCGCTTTTTTTTTGCGCGGGCGAAGTCTGCCAATGGGGAGCGTGCACTGGCTGGGAACGATGCAGCACTGCCTTGCGTGTGTAGTCCAGTCCATAGATCCGCCTGCTCTCGGAGCCTTGACCGCCGGGGCCACCTCAGTCTTTCATTGAAAGGTACTTTGTAAATAAAAGTGGACCAGCTTGAATATCTGGTTATTTGTTGGTCAGGGTGGCTACCATCTGTAGATTTGTTTGCCGAGAACTATGTGCCAAAGGTGCAGTTGTAAAGACGGTGCAAACGCTACAGTCTGCAGTTTCCATGGGGCAGAACGAGCCACCAAAAAACAAAATTGGTTCATAAGAAAAGCACTGCAAAGAAAATCTGGAAGTCAAAGACCTGGCTTACAATCAAAAGGACAGACGATATTGTAAAAGGTGCTAGTTATTCAGGCATTGAACGTCCTCCAGTCATGAATGACAAGGTTTTCTTTGTTCTGCTGCGAAATATTTGCTGTGTATAGGTGCGCAATTTAGCCAGTGTAGCATGGTTGCTAATCTGAGTGCTACCATGCAGTAGCAACTGGACGAACACATTCCAACATGATGCTCATCCAGATGAAAACTGGCTGGAGTGAAGATTGAACTTTGGATTTGAAAATATGCGATTCTTAGGGGTGTGCGAATATTCGTCATTTTCGAATAACGAATAGAATATTACCCTATTCGATTCAGTAATGGAATTGAATAATTATTTTCAAAAGTTTCGAATATTTTTTAAATAATTTCTGAATAGTAGTTGTTACAGTGTTGTGCCGCGAGATTCCCTTCACAGGTGTCCCACAACGCTCCGGCATGCCTGCCATACGTGCCCACAAGATGGCAGTACGTACCCTCTTCTCCTAGACAATGATTATCATCATTGGATGCAGCAGTTTCTCTACGTACGTTGCTGCTGCCTCCATTGGGGACCACTGTGTTAAGTATAACCCGCATGAAAGCGATTGGGCAAGAGACGAGACAGGCGACGTCGACCCGCTTTGCTGTCGCTCGGTCTAGGGTGCCTCAATGTCCTTCTGTTTAGGGTGATGCCACCCTTTGTAGTACCCGGTGCCGACAGCACGCGCTCACGGGAAAAATACAAAGAAATCGACGAAAACAAAATGTCGCCATAGCACAGTCAGCGCCACTAACGCGTGCAGGGACACGCTCTTTCACGCGCTTCTGAACAAAAAAGAAAGATAAAAGTGTGGGACAAAATGGCCAGATGTCTCCACCCTAAGCAAAGCGCACATGAAGGCACCCTAGCTCGGTCAGTCACGCGATGAGGCAAGCTGCATGAAAGTGGTGTGAGCAAGTGACCAAGGCAATGAGGATATTTTCTAGAAATTCAAACACCAAGCGACGCGACGAGCGACAGCAAGAAATCTCCGTCGCTCGCTGCTGACTCTCGTCGCTGTCGCTCGTCTCGTCGCTCGCTAAATCGCTTACATGCGGTTCAGCCTTTAGGGACCGCTTTCACTCGAGAATGCTCGTGCACACTTTCGGAAAGAGTGTCGTAGAGACGTCTCGTAACTGGTTGCAACGGTACCGCCGCTCTGTATGAGTGAAGTACAAGTGGTAGAAGCGGGAAGTTGTTTGAAGAGTAAGTGCAATAGTGTGTGGAAGTTTTTCGGCCGCTCCCATGTAACCAATTGAAGAAGCCACAACAGCTGCTTGTGTCGAGTCTTTCGCAGCACTTTCCATGGTTGTCCCACTTGTTCAGTGTGTGAAGATGTTGCTTTTTTAGGGCGCAATTGGAACAAGACAGTCCGTTTTCCCTGAATCTTCTCAGATCAGTGAAAATAAGGGTCTTAGACATAAGCACACAGGCACATCACACCCTTGCCACCTTTTTTGATCTTCAAGGACATTTGCTACAACAAGAAAAAAAAAAGAATGTAGAGTTCCTACCGAGTACATTGCTTCAGGATGTACCAGGCTCAAGCGAACTCGGATTTTATGTTCAACATCCGCGTGAACAGTGATTTTCTGTTTAGCATTCTAATATTTTAGCATCTTTAGACTATTTAATTATATATTGTTCAACTCTAGTCATTATCATCTAGTCGCGTTGTTACAATAATTTTAAACATTTTGGAACAATAAAAATAATTTTATGTCTTTGCTCTTCTTTAGTAGCTGTCACTTAATATTAAAAAATTATTCGATTCGTATTCGATTCGGTTTCAAAGATCACTATTCGCACACCCCTAGTGATTCTCCCACAGCGTACCAATTCCCATGAAGGTAGCCTTCTGGCAAGGCACACAAATTGCTACAGGTCTTTCCACCAGATTTTTACACGAGACCGATTCAGTGCAAGCAATTGGAGTTACTATGCGTATGTTCAAAGTATATACGCAAAAATGCAGTCACAACGTAGAACTGGGAACACCTGCTGAAGTTGATCGCATAAAGAGCAGAGGCAAAATGAAGTGCACACCATATATTGAAACAAATGGAGTTAGCCACTCGCTTGCATTCACATAGTATTCAATCAAACCAGTTCAGGTATGCATAAGAATAGTAATATTGTGTGTACGTCTATGCAGCCAGAAGTTAGTCAGCCCCGATGAGCGTCTGGTGTCTCGGTTGTAGATGAGCAATTCAGCCAGTTCAGTACAACTGGTAGACTGGGGTCTCTAATGTGCACCACGCAGTTGTGATACATGACTGCACGCCCAGTACTATGCTCATCCATACAACATTTAGCAAATGTCTCTTGTGGGGTGGTGGTGTAGAATTGAGTTCCCAAAGGAGGCAGAAGTAAGAAAACAAACATTTTATTTACAGTATAGAAGCAAGTAAGAAAAAATACTTGGCTCCCCCCGTCCCATGGAAATGTTATGAAGTGCCGCCCCGGGTGTTGTCGTTTGTGACGTTCCCCCAATGTCCCTCGGCAACTTATTCGGTCGCGTCGGCCCTGGCAGTAGCGAAGGGGGTCTCCACCGTGAGCACCCCGCAGTCGACAATCTTGACCTCCTTCGTCGGCTTGTCTCGGCTGTTCGTCTGGACCTTCTCAACCTTGCGCACCACATCCTGTCAGTGGCAGACAACATGGCCATTAGCAACCAAGCACAGCCTTCTTTCAGTCATGAGCAGGTTTCCAATCTCCCAGATACCACACAAAAACAGTCCTTGTCAAATTGCCTTGGAGTAACGGTTACATCAGAGCCACATGCTCCACAGACCTAAGTGCTGTAAGCTACAAGAATGCATCCCTCGTTTCAAATGCTCCTCTGGCAAACGCCACAGCAGAAAATCCAGTCAAACCTCAGAGTTCAAATCAGTGGCATTTGCTCCACTCCAACAACGTTGCCATTTGCAACCTCACTCCAACAACATTGCATTTGCAACCTCTGTAGCAGAACAACACTAATCTACGCACTGCACTTGCTCAAAAGCCTCTGCTTACTAGAGAGCAATGTCCCCCCCCAACTGCCTCCCTTCACCTCTCCAACTTATAATGCTCTTGCCATCCTTTTACCAGATGAAGACATTTCATTAGTTCTGTTTACGACTTTAAAGAGATACTTCAACAAAGTTTGAAATATACCCGTCGTGTACAGAAATAGGCTGAATATGATCCACATTATCCATAAATGACAATCGCAACTTTGAATTTTGAGCCTGATGGCTGCATTTTTTGTTATGAACGGCCCACTCTGGCAAGAGCTCGGAGAGCAGGAGCAAAGCTGCAGCGAGGCCGATGTCGACAGGATGTCTTAGCCGTTCCAGCGGCCGAAGCATGCCAGCGATCGGGCCACCGCAACTAACCGCAAAGCTGCTTTTGTATGAATTTTGAGTGACAAGTTAGTCTTCTATAATCTTGAAAAGGGACAATAGCGACATCTGGGACACACAAGAGAGAGTTCCGGTTGAGAGGGGAGTTCCTTCTTCCCCTCTTCTCTCGTGGCGGCCGGAGAGCTGGGGGGTGTTGTCGGGTTCAAGGCATGTATAGTTCTAGGCGAGACAAGCATCTTCACTACCTGTCAAGGCTCCTAGACTGGCATTACGAACGAGGCCTTAGCGACACCCATCAGGTGCTCTTTGCTAATTGTTTAATTCATTTTAAAATTCCTTTTGGTGTCTTTGTCAACAAGAGATTGGAGCGTCCGATGCGATACTGCTTCCTTGAACACGTAGGGACCAAGAATTAAGCGCCGAAACTTCGTTGTAATATCCATTTAAACCTGACATGAGGAGAGCTCGTATACTTTGCTTTGCCCTACGGTTAACTACAACCAGAGCTACAGACTGCCAGGTCCAATCACAAGTTGGTTAGACACCACGTGGCATCTGTTCCAAGGTGCATGTCGGAGCAGCACACTGATGCAGACGTCGAAGCAATATACCGCATTACTTTTAACTGGCCCGTAGCTTTGTCCGTAGGTTATGTTGGGCAAGAGAAGTGAAGTGCAGCTGTTAACACCAGATCGTGGTACAGTAGCGGGGCAATCGCTTACCATTCCCTTGACAACCTTCCCGAAAACTACGTGCTTTCCATCGAGCCACGAGGTCTTCTTGAGGGTGATGAAGAACTGAGATCCGTTGGTGTCCTTGCCGGCATTGGCCATGGAAAGCCAGCCGGCACCGTAATGCTTCAGCTTGAAGTTCTCGTCTGCGAAGCGCTCGCCGTAGATACTGCGACCTGGAAAGATCCGGCGCAACGCTTTATGCACGGGAGGTCGCTCGGAACTCAGTCGCCACACGACGTTTAAAAGGTTAGCTCAAAAGGTGCTTTCTCACTACCCTACTGTCTGCCATTTCTGTAAATTGCAACAAAACAATGCTCTGCACTTCCGGGGCAAAATTTAAACAAATTGGGGAATAAAAAAAAATACAATATGCATTATAGTAATTATTGCATCGACGACACATTAATTACAATAGACACTCTTCGAAATTTTGAAATGATACATATTTTATGTGCGGCTGCAGTCAGTTGGTCATGCAACGCATGCATTGGACACGAGCACTACGTCGGCATTCGGACCATACTCTGATTGAAACGCTTTCCACACGTGTGCCGCGTTGGTGCTAACTTGGAACCAATCGCGGGCTTCATGCGGGAAGCGACGGAACCTACTAATGGGGGCTGCACATAATCTATGCTTCATTTCACAGTTTTGGAAAGGGCCTATGAGGCGCTATGCGTGCATTCTCCAGAAACTGAAAATGCCGAAAGTTGGTCACCGACGGCTGAAGGAACGTGGAGCATGGTTTATTGTGTTCACGCGTCTTGCTCCATGATTGGTCTTCCAGCATTCTTATTGGCTGTGAAGAGATAGTAAGACACTCGGTACTCTCGACAGTTTGAGTAGACGTCGGCGACTCTAGTACAAAAGCTGAGGAAAATGCTTGCAGGCTGACTATCAGGGTGCCACGGTACTTATACGAAGAGCAAGTCGCCTGCTCCTTGCACAGGGGTTGCGGTTCCGTCAGAACGATGCTGAGATCCGACTGGCTTTGATTGAAAGGATAGTGGGCAGAACTCGATGCTAGATGCCTCGAGGTCTACCCACCATTTTATTCGATCAGCCAATAAGAGCTCGGCATTCTGACATTGCCACAACCCCTGTGCAACAAGTAGGCGAACTTGCGCTCCGCATAGCACCAGGTCATTACACAGAGCAAAGAGAATGTCATACCTCCGGTGCCGTCTCCCTTCGTGAAATCTCCTCCCTGAATCATGAAGTCTGAGATGACTCGATGAAACACGCTGCCCTTGTACCCAGTCAGGCCGCCGTCCGCCGCCCTCTAAAACGAGAACAAGAATGTGTCGCCAGAAGGCAAGTTTACACCACCGGACCAAAGCCTCCAGATGTCGGTGGCATCCAAGATCACCGGACGTTCAGATTATCAAAAGTTTGAGCCTTCCGCAAAACGTTGCTCCATGGTGCGAGCGGTCGATCGGCTTCGAGACAACTCCAAAGGGCTATGCAGTTGCATGTGTCCTGTTATGAAATTCTAGGAAAGTGCAAAGTGAGCCAAACAAAGCTGGCAGCTAAACCAAAGTGCCTACAACAGTCAAAGAAGGATGCTTCAAAGGAAGCAGAAGGAGACGAAAGAGCTCACTTTCATCACTCTTATGGACGATCAGACATTCTGCACAAAACTCCGGGCGACGGATTGAAAATGCGGTGGAAACCCCGCTTCCAGTGCAAGTCTACTGCCTTTGATAACACTTCGGCATCTTGCAAATGCACGCGGCCGAAGCACGACGGACAAGTGCAGACTAGCGACAGAGCTGCTACATTCGTAACCCATCGCCAGCTAAAGTTTGCCACCAATGCCACCAGTATTAAATCAACGAGCCCAATCCTTTCCCATAGCAGACACTACATACCAGATGCAAGTCGAGAGAAAATGTGAAAAATCTCACCTCCTCCGTTAGGTGCTTCTTTGCTAGCTCCATGAAGTTTTGCACAGTCTTGGGCACCGTCTTGCCAAACAAGCCAATCTCAATCCGGCCAGCGGGCTCATCGCCTATCGTGATGTCAAAGTAGACCTGAAAACAACAAGTTGTGCACTTTTGAACTTGCAAATGCAACCAAGTTATTTCAAGAAGTCCAGAGAACTCTAGTTTAGATAGCCGATGCTCGGCACGTCGCTTCAATACAACTAGCATGCCTGGGAATGATTGTGCACGGTTTATCTAGTTCACTGTTGGAACACCCAGGCATGCTTTCAAGTCTTCAAAATACTTTTTTTTTTTTTTTTTAAGGCTGACACCCAGGCATGCTTTCAAGTCTTCAAAATACTTTTTTTTTAAGGCTGATTTATTCAGAAGTTTAAGAGCTTAGCCATAACAGGAAATTATTTTAGCTTAAACACTCATTTAAATTTATGTTGATGCAAGCAGTATACATCTCTAAAATAAAAGCTTGCAAAGGTGCTTTAAAGGTCTTCATAAATTTCTGTTATTCTTAATCTGTTCGGTGCTTATTTTTGCCTGGGCAAGTTAGGAGGCACTTTCCAAACCCAGGTTTAGTGGCTCTGGCTGTTCAACTAAACGCTCGCTAACTTTACTAGCTTCTCAGTGTTGGCAAAAGCAGTTTCAAATAAAGGAGACATTTGCGCCACAAGCTCTGTTTTCTACCCTGGTAACCCGATTATGATCAGTTGGGGCAAGGTATGCAAAATATGACCGAAACACGGCTGCTCAATCTCTCAAGCAAGGTTCGCCTGCACTCAAACCGAGCACAACAGGTGTCTCCACAGCGCGCGCAAGCTTGCGCCAATAAAAGAAGCACGGACGTGGTGGGCATGCAAATTTCAAGTTGCCTTTCGAGGGGATCAAACAAGTTTATCTGTGTCATTGACTTCGTCCATTACACGTGTACAAGGTGAGTCGCCCGCCTACCTTGTCGGTAACTTTGGGTCCTTTTGGCTGCTTCTCTTGGGCGGAGTAGACCAAAGCGACCACAGAGAGGAGAGCTAGACCACCGATGATGAATTTCATGTTGGCACGGGTCTTCTTCCAGGCCAGGGACACGAAACGCTCCTGCCAACGCCGATCGTGTAGCGCAGGGAGTACGAGGCGGACTTCGCTCATGCAGCGTGTCGGCAAGAAAGCGCGTCAGATTTTCGGACCGTGGACGCTTTTGATTGGTCGATGCCGCCGGATACAAGAGAAACATAAAAATATCTGATTTCCGGCTCAGATAATCAGGTAGTTCTGGCAGTTTCGGTTGAGGGAGTGACCTCTTGGGCAAAATGTGGAAGTGTACCTGTAGCAACCTGTAGCATTTGTTTATCTATAGCTATAGTTTGAACATGAGCTAACTAAGCACTAAATTGACTAAACTCTAAAAGCTAAGCTGAAATATCTATCTACTGAAATATATCGGCGCCAGGGAGTGGCATCTTCTACAGAAAATTGATGTAGGTGGAAAACGGCAAAGAATAAAGAAAGAGAAGAGGAAGATCTGTCGAGTAAGACTCGAACCCAAATTAGCTTTAATTAGTTGGGAAAAATATAGTTTAATAAACAAAATAAAGTTACACGATAGGTGGCAGAAGCTACCGCCCGATAGAAAGGCAGCTGCAGCTACTGCGATCCACTTAATTTGTTCAATCGATCGTTTCGCCACCTATGTTGGCGTCCTAGAAATTCCTGGCGCGTGGTTTTGTTTGGTTTTGTTTTGTGCGGCAGTTTTGTCCGGCTCGCACGCTTCGGCGTGAGCTCCGTTTCAGTCAAGTGCAATTAGGCCCCAAGGAAACAGTTAAGTGACGCCGATCATTCTTGTTTACACAAAATGAAATCAACTTCATTCAACAAGACCGAATGCGGTCGGTTTGGCCGGTATCCAAGGAGCGCCCAAACGTGGTCACAGTTGCTCCCATAACTCCCGGATAAACGTTCAGTTCGTGCACTTCGTTGCCGCAATGAGTTCGAAGCTGCATGCCGTGTTTATGGTCAGCAAGATTCAAACACAAATGCGAGTATTTACGATATAAGCGTGCGCGACGGGTAACTTTTCCATCGCGTGCTCGCGGTCTGCTGAATGGGGGCGCTGTTTGGAAGCGGCAAACCGTTATCTACCGTTAATTAACGTGTTTTCAGTTTATCCTTAGATTTTTTTCTCGAGCCTTAAAAGGTCCATTCGCATAGCACCATTTCCTTATGTTTTGCTTCGTAACGTGATACGACCGTCGTGAGCCCAAGTCCATGCTTCGAATGAACTCGCGGTCGTAACTCTGCTTACGTAAATGTAACGTAAGCAAACGGTACTTCGCGAATGGGACTTTACTCCTTCATGCAACACTGAATTTCTGCGCTATTTTCTAAGCAAATTATTATTTTTCTTTTTTTCAGATGCAAAATTCAGAAGTACACTGGATATCACGGTTACCATTCTGGCTACTCCTCATTCTGCTCAGCGAAGGAACATCCCTAAAATGCGACGAGAGGTCGACATCTTGTTCATCTTCTTTATCAGACACCTTATACTGCCAAGCTGCAGACATTGTGTTCGATGTAGGAGGCCACACTTTACGAACTTACGGAGAAGCCGCAAGCGAAGAACCCTTGTGCCGAGCAGCCGAAACCTGGCAGCTAATGTCCAAAAGGAAAGAAGACGCAAGCTTGCTTGCGTGCGACCAAATCTTCGAAAAGGGACACTTTTTCACGCTTCGCCGAGGCAGAAGTACACCGAGCCTGCTCAGAAACACACTCTTACCTCTGCTCCACATTCTCTATGGCCCATCTACATCTGAAGAGGTGGACGGCACTGTGTTGCTGCCAGGGATTCAAGGAGCAGATGATGGGGTAAGCAAGTTCTTGTTTTAAAGCGATAGCTGCGTATGGGAACCCTGTAAGGATCACACTTACTCGTGTTAGTCACACAGGAGCGAAGTAATGGGAAAGGGTGTCGGAATGGGGTGCAGCTATTGGCTCAATATCATAGCCACCAGGGGGGGTTAGGCAGTACACTAGCACCCCCTCCCTCTTCCTCCCTCTCTATAGTACAGTCTGCGGCAATATGAAAGACCCACTGGGAGCGCGTGGCCGAGGCGGTGGCTGGCGGGGGCGCTGCGAGCGCTCCGGGCAATTCCATTCTGCTTCGACAAAAGGACGCTCACTCGGGGCTCAGCACAATCTGATAAGCGCATTTCGCTTTGGCTGAGCCCGAGTGAGCGTCCTTCCCTCGAAGCAGAATGGAATTGCCCGGAGCGCTTGCAGCGCCCCCGCCTCGGCCATGCGCTCCCAGTGGGTCTTTCATATTGCCGGAGACTGTACATTAGGAACTGCATATTAGTAAAGTGGCATAGAGGTATTTCACAGTCATATTGCATGTGTGGTGGCACATACAATTTTGGTAAGACGTTTTGGGGAAATTTCAGAAGGACAACAAACTCTTCATTGGGATCTTGATAAACAGGGAGATGGCATTTTTTTTTGCAACCTTCAAGTTGGCACATTTTTGGCGATGAGGATGGGATACGAGGAGAGGAGGAAAGCCTGATTTTTTAATATAAATAGATTGAATGTCGCTGAGAAACAAAATAATTAATTCCAAGTTCTCTTGTCAGCTGATTAGGCTGGTTAGGCAGATACGAGATGTGTTGTGTGTTTGAACCGGAGGCACCGTGCGAATCTTTCTTTAATTTTTTGTCTAGAAAATTGACTGGGACGCAGAAGAGTTCCTGGATTCAATGAGGCCTGAAAACCAGATGATTCAGGTTTGTTGCCTTTAAATTCTTTTCAATTTGCGAAATTTTAAAATATTATTTTTTAAACTCAGGGTATGGAAGCTTGAGAAGGAGTAAAAAGAATAATTGAGAGACATGTGAGCTGGTAAACTATATAAATAGCACAAAACCAAGACCAGGGGGAAAAAAACACACAAAGATAGACAAAATTTTATGGCCTGCCCATTTTTTTTTTTTGTTCCCAGGCCCCAGGAATTTTTAAATGTTGCTCAGGAAATCCAAGTATCATTGTGCATATGCTTATCTGACAGAAGTGTCTTGGGAACCATACAGTTGTGCCTGGAGCTCAAAGCTGTAATCTTACAACTTGTGGAATTGTACATTTGGTGTAAACCGAATTAGGCTTGTTGGTTATAAGTCCCATGTCCCTTCATAACCTCTACACATTCTCTTTGTTAGTAAGCTGCACTAGTATACCACAAACAAACTAGTTGCTTTTCTAAATCATTTCTAAATCATTTCCAGGGCTTAGCGGGACCGCACAGTGTTCTACCGCTTGATAAACGCCTCTCGGCTGTCAACAAGACCATCTGCTTCCGGAAGGCAAGTTTTGGGGTAAGCCAATCTTTAAACATTCTTCATGCTGGCAGCAGATTTTCAGATATGCTCACCAAAAACGCCTCCGGAGTTCGTCGGAAGTTTGCTCGAGTTTACCTTTCCTTCCCCAGATACCGATCACAGATGCCTCCGACCCAAAACTCGTCTCGGCATTCGTGAGCCGGCTCCGCGGAAACCTCGGACTGAAAACTCCAAAGACGCACCTGGGGTCGAAGCCTCGAGTGGGGCTGGCGTTGAATTTCGGTGGAGCGTAAGTGCCATTTTGCTTTTAGAGCTACCTGCATTTGCTGTGACCTCGTTCAACACCACGTTCGACCGCAGTCGACGCTACGATCTGACAAGGTCAATCGTGCTGTGCCAAAAGTGTATCATTGCAGCACTCATTGTCTTTGTGCTTCTGCTATCCCCAGCTAGACCCTTAGTCACGCACAATAAAGGCCCCATGATTCCGCACTTTTTTTTTGTGAAGCTACCCATTTGGCTTCTTGAGTCGTAGCGTCGGCTTCTGTTGGACTCGACGTGAAGCGGTATATAATAACTGCAATGTATGCGTAAGTTGAAACCGCATAATCACAGTTCACGTGCAGCCAAGAACGGAAGGGGGGGGGGGGCTATTACCTGCATCAGGGATTACGAGTTGACGTGAAGTCTGACATATCAGTCAAGATCTAACGACCATAATACTAAGAGATATTAGGTTGCAAAAAGGGCGATCGTAACTGTTACTTGCAAGACAGATAATAAAATGCATTTAGATCAAAATATGTGCAACACCTTGTTCTTTCTCGGAGATTGTAAAAAAAATGTACGCTAAATGGAAGATTTTGCGAAAAATGAGGACCCTAAGGCCTCATTCACACAGCCGGTGCCTCTTCCATCCTGGCACTGTCACGGGAGCACTCCGGGGCGGGAACGCGATGGCGGGGTGTCCGAGCAGGCTGCGCAAGCAAAGCGAAGGAGGCCGCGACAGCAGGATTGGATTGGATCGGATTGCTTATTTATTCAACTTAATTTACAAATAAAGAGATACTTGTGCCTGAACATTAGTGCGCATGTTTCTTTTTTTTTGTAAATTAAGGATTTGCGTCTGCTATTAGCAATTCCCGCCGAAAAGGAACAAGAAAAACAACACAACAAGCGTTGGTTCACTGTTGGCAACCGAACAATGAAAAATCTTCCAAACTTGGCGAAACTTTTCTATTTTTGTGATTGGTCGGTTTTCGATGGGGGCGAGACTCCCATCATCCGCCGGGACGCCGGTGTCGTAGAGCAGCTCCCTACGTCACCCGGCGCGGCACAACGTTCCGGCGAAAATCGGGCCGAAAATCCTCTCCCCTGACGGGAACGCCCCTCGCGACGGTGACGGGATGGGAGAAACGACGGCTGTGTGGATGAGGCCTAAGAGGACTGACCAGCTTTGCCCACTTGCTCAGGTTAACTGCCCCCAACTTCTTTTTTTTTTTTTTTGCAGGAACAAGGATATCAGTATGCCATACTGGAACCGAGCTGTCAAAGAGATTGTCAATTTTGCCGAAGTGGTTGGAATCAACTACAACAAGCTGTCGTTGGAGGAGCAGGTACAGTCCATTGATACATTCTTGGTTTTCTATGAGAAAACTTTCCTGGCAACTATCCCGTAAAAAAAAAACAAAAAAAAAAACAGTTTTCGATATTGTTAAATGTATTCATAATGCAAAAACAATGAGAGTGTTTTAGGAACTAATAGAATTCTGCTTTTCCTTCCTTGATCATGTAAATTTTTTTTTTTTTTAATTTAGGGGTGGTATTACACCATTTCTTGATTAAACTAGTCAACACTACACCATGTGTTGGTCATCTTTTCTTCAAACTTTCTGGGGTTTTTTTTCCATGCATTTTTATAACCATGTCATTAAAACTCATTGTTTAAGTCAGTTTTACATGCTTTTTGTGCAGATTTCACAAATGCAAGGACTCAATGTTTTGGTGGTGGCTGCGGACAACACAGAGGCATTGATGGGAGCCCTTTACCTGCCCCCATGGGGAGTGACCGTCTTGCTTCCTGGATCCAACGTAAGTGTTCGTTCACCACGTCTACAAGATATTAGTTTTGTAATACTCTGCGACCCCCCCCCCCCCCTCCAGTTAAAGGGATGCTGAACCGAAATTTCTAGCTCACAAAACAAGGCTGGACGGACAGGCGGGACACTGCAAGATCCTAAAACATCACTCATACAGCAATATCTCTAACGGATCGCCGTATTTACGGAAAAGAAGTGCGCGGTTGAATACGACCGAGGAGACAAGTCTTGTCTCGATTCTCATTCTTTCTTCTCCTCGCTACGTCCCGTTAAGCTGGTGAACCGGAGCAAGAAAGAGAGAAGCGGGGCCGCTTCCCCTCATTCTCAAATTTTCCAGGAGGACAATGACGTCATAGCCCTCGCTTGATTGCGCCCTTCTTTTCCAAAAGTACGGCCATCCGTCTGAGATATCGATGTACGAGTGATGTTTTGGAGCTCGTGGCATTTTGTTCAAAGCTTCTGCGACCTTATTTTGCAAAATCGGTTGTGAATTTCGGTTCAGTATCCGTTTAAAGAAGTATGGATAGTATTCAAAGTATTGTCTGTTTCTTGGGCACTTCCATGTTTTCGAACATGGGAATGTTTCTTGCATTGTCGCTGGCTAAGTTCCTGGAAAATGATGCAATGATTGACAGTCAGCATGCTATGTAATCAAGATACGAAATATGCATTAAGAGTTGAATGTTGATTGTGGCTTTATGGTGCAGCAGCATCTAAGGCTTATGCACACTGTGCTATATGAATTCAGCATTTTCTTTTTTAAAGCCAAGACTATGTATATAAGTACAACCGTGTACAATGTCTGTGTCACTGTTCTACAACCTTCATTAATTGGAAAGTTTGTGTGTTTCGAGACACTCATACACAAAACCACTGTAGACGGCCAAAAGCATTCTTGTCGGGCCAACGCACAGAATGATCCGAAACTCACCTTTGGCACACTGTGCGCCTAGCTTCCATGGACGAATGCCTCCCAAAGTTATTAATTTACAGCACAATCCTCGCTTGTTTCACAACGAGATGCTGACCGTACCTCTTAGACTAGGCTATATCTTATTCTAATTTCTATCTTGTGTACAAGTGAGCAAAAGATGCTTCATCGTTCTAGGTCAAACAAGACACGAAGGAAGTCCTGCACCTTCTGGAAACCTCCGGTCGCTTTCTTGTGCACGCCCCTCGGCCCCCACCCGCCACCAGCGCAAACGAAGTTGTTCGTTCGGACGATGAAGCGGCGACAGCGATAGTGCAAGTCATCCAGAAAGCAGTCGGTCTTTCGCAACATCCATCTTAATTAACCGAGCACGTGCACATTTCGTTCGGTCAGATTTATAATTCCGGTGCTGGCCGAAAGGGACCACAAAACAATGGTACCGGGCTCAAACTTTACCGAGCTGTGCACAACCAACCAAAGTGCAAATTATGATAAGAACGACCTGGGAAGAGGAATTGGGATAAGAGCCAATGTTTCGCTTAGAAGATTAGCTTTTTTGGGGCATAGTACTAACACAAGCGTACCAACATGTGCGAGCTGCGATTGTCTCGATTCACTTGCTGTGTAACTTCAATAGTGCAGTGGTGGACCATTTGTTTTCATCTCTTCTCGAAAGGTTACCAATGCGATAGTGAGGCTTGCGGCCACCTTTACCGCAGCTGAATGCGGCACATTGATTAGACACAAATGGTCTGTCGATGCTCGGCGGAGTGGGGTCTCGTGTCCAGTTGGTGTTGTGATAAGATTTGCCAGGCTCTTGCGATGTATGCGACATGCCACATGCTCGATGCATTGCCAACCCAGACACGCGGTTGCGATTGACGTCGATGACGGCAGACCACAACATCGGTTGTTCTGGCCAAGAGTTGAAATTTCTGCTGCGGGATAACAGTTCTTTGCACAACCACTAGCAAGTGGAGAAAAAGCGACGCGAGTGGAAGAGCGTCGGAAATACATTCTAGACAGTGTTTCCTGACGAGTAAACAAAACTGCTTCAGGGCCCCTTTGCTGTAAGGTAAAAAGCAGTGCCTTGGCTGGCTTGCATCGTTTCCGACTAGGGTTGATACTGCTGAATTTTACAGCTAGTGCACAGAGGAAGAGTACACTTTACATAGCCGACTTGTTAGATACGCTAATGTGACAGCAATGACCTGCAACATAATTGCACCTGGTTCTGCGAAACAAACAGAAATTGTGCCGATTTGGCACTTTCCCCGTTTGATTGTGGATCCCCTGACCTGTGGCTACTTCTTTTGAACAACTTTTAGTGCTTGTCGCCGACATTGTCATAATCCAACGTGTCTTTCGTAACAGACATCTCGTGGAGCTTTCTTGATAATGCAGGGGGGGGGGGGGGGGGGTTGTTTTTGTAGTCTATTACAAGACTGGCCATCTCTGGATGAGAGTACGCATTTGTATGGCACCTGCCTGATAGACGAGTCATGCAATCCAAACTCCTGGCGATATGGAAAAAAAAAAAAGAAGACTTCTTTTAAATATTAGTTAATGGAATTCTTAGAAAAGTAGTATAAAACATTTCCAGCCATCACAAATGCATAAAAAAAAAATCATGTGTTTCGTGTAACTTTAATTCTGCCAACATGGGTGCAATAGTGTGGAAAGTACACAACTTACTTTTGTTTTAGTATCACTGTGCCTTGTTTGATGATACTCATTTTTCTGTTTTTATGTTTGCTCATTTACCTTTGTTGGTAAAATTTTGAATTGTGACAGAAGTTTGCCTTCTAGCACTAGCTGATGAGATTTTTTATTTATTTTTTGTTTCCTTTGCGTTCTTATTGAAAATGTGTACTCAGGAACTTGGAACGTTTTTTGTAGCACTTTGTTTGTAGCAATTGTTTTTGTTTACATGAAGGTTCCACACACTGCAAGAAGTATACTTACAGACTCTTGTCTTTATAAACCTTTACCATTTACAGACCTCCGAGCGTGTCACATTTTACGAACCATTTTACAGTTCCTTGTACTACATAGGCATGCACAGATCACATACCCGTAAATAAAGACTCTACACAAGACTTTTGTATTCCTTCCTTTAAATAAAGAACTGCACAAAGTTGTAACTACAAATCAGTTACTCATTCCACGCTTCTGAAATCTTTCGCCTTCCGTGCATAGGACAACCCTCCCGCTGCACCCAAGCTTTAAAAATAAATTCCACCTCAATTGCACACCACGCAAAAGTAATTAAAGCTAAGCTCGCGTGCCTCCTAATATCTAGGAAGGCGGGCTGATTACGGCCCACAGAAAAGCACGATAAACCTGCAAGCACACAGTTCCCAAGAAACCTGGTACGCATAAAATTATAATTAGCCAGTTAAAACAAACAACGAAAAGGGGTCGCCGCTGGTAAAGAGCGAGAACGGAAACCTTCCGTAAGCCTCGGTTTGCCAGCCGACAATCCGCAAAGAGGCTCGGCCGACCAAGAAGCCGAGTCGCTAAACGTTGGCCACTGCCCCAAGGCTTCTGGAAGGCTCCTCTTCAAACGAAACAAGCTGTACTTTGTTTCGTCGTAACTTTCCAAAGAGCGAAACGTTGCGGCCCCTACGAGCCAATCGGAGCGACGGAGGTCGAGCACGTCACGGCCCTTACCAGACGTACAGGGGCAAGAGTAATCCGAGCAACTGGAGAGGAGGGGAAAGGGAAACTCCCTCTTACCCGGACCTTCTTTTGTATGTCCCAGACGCCGCTTTTGTACCCTTCCGTGATTAGTCTGTGACTCGGAATACGTACGAAAGCAGCTTTCCCCTCTTCCGCTCGTGGCTTTAACAGCACTTCGTGCTTCGACGCGCAGAGTGGCTCACTGGGACCATAGTCTTTGCTGTCTGCAAAGTGACGAGACGGAGTATAGTAGTTTGTCCTTACAACGCATATCTAAACTCATCCGTATCCTCACTCGCGAGTCTAAAATTTCACCAAAAGTTGTGCGCTCGACCCGTACCTCCTCGTCTGTTCCGTCAATGCTCCGGACACTAAAGACTGAAAATCATGTTTAAAGAGAATAACCCGTTCTCTTCGTTCCGAAAAAAAAAAAAAAAAGGAAGTGAGGTCCGAAAGCCTCTGGTATTTATCACATGCACACACGCCGAAAATCCAACGAAATAAAATTAAAACGAGCAGCTGGCACCGTCCCTTCAAAGCCGACGCGACCGGCATGAGGGCGGATCAGAACCTCTGGTTCAGGGGGTTCTCAGGGGACTTCATCCAATCCTTGCGGATCATTTGCTTCAGCTGGGAGAGCCGCAGGTTCGGATTCTCAGCTTTGAGTCCCGGCAGCATCCGGGCCTCGTAGGCCTCGTACGCCGCCTTCGCCCTCCGCTCCGGATGACGATCCACGGGAGCGTCGCCGACGCTGAAACGACGAAGTGAAGACTTTGGGGTGGGCTGGTGTTGCTGAACAAACTATGCTTCGCTCGAGTAGCGCAGCTTTTTGGGCCAAAATTTGGTTTTCGTCTGGGAACCTGGGGCCTCAGAATGCCTGAAGAAGCCGATGTAGGGCCGAATTTGACCTTTGGCCAGAGTCTGAGTCGGGCATGTACATGCTACTAAAGAGAAGTAGCTAAATGTGGTTAGTCGTTGCTAAAAATATAACTAAGTACTGCAAAATGCCGCACAAGTGCCCACTTCGTACAGGCACCCACTATTTCCCCTTTCCCAACTTGGAAATTCTGCGAATCGTACGCTAAGCGCACCCCCCCCCCCCCCCCTTCCTTCCGTGTCTCCTGACCAGTGCATTTACCGCACCCTATAAAGTGGTCCCTCGATTTCCGCCCAACGACGTCACAGAAGTGTCATGTCGTCGCCCGCTGCGATTGCGGTGGTGCCGCGGCAGCAGATGCGGATGCGACAGACGCCCGTTCTGCTTCAGATTGCCCTCCAGCTTGACGCTTTACAAAAGCTTTGGTAGCCAGTGGCCCTAAACTCATCAAACGCAGAGTTGGAGCCAAAATTTCGCGGAGCGCGTCAATTGGATGCCGGCGACAAAAGCACGAAGTCATCTTCCTGACAGTCCAATCGGTGCGCTCTATGAACTTCGGCCCCAACTTTGCGTTTGATGAGTTTAGAGTCACAGGAGCAGGGACGCTGCAACAACGGCAACACACACGTTTTTCCAGAACTTGTATGCCTTCCTGCTGGGAGATCACGACACCTGACATGACACCCCGGCTTTTGAGACGAAGTTTGTTGCCGCTTCGGGACCGCCGTCGACGCACGGGCAAAATGGGATGCTAAACACGCCAGGTGCCGTGGCCTTATTAAGGGCGGGACTTTTGGGAGCCTCACCTGAGTACGGCAATGGCTTCATCAACCGTCCGGGCCTCGTCCCCTTCTACCACGATCCGGTTGACATTTTCTTCTAATGGCTTCTCATGAAGCAACAGTTCCTCCTTTTGCGGCTCTGCGGACAAAACGATGCACCATTGTTGGTAAGTCTATGTCGTTGCAGCGGAGCTATAGTACCGTGCACGATGCGGGGGTCAGTAAACAAACGAAAAGCAGTGGGGCCGGGCCGGGGCGATGGTCAAACCTAGGCTTAATGCGTCACAAGTTCAGAACATGTTCTATAAGACGAGCAGGAAGAAAACTCGCAAAGGGCAAATGATGGACGATTATAAATCCACAAAGACAACTGAAAAGAGTGTATGTGTCCATTATTTTTTTTCTTCTGTGCAAATTCTTTATTGTGCATCACTTTTGCTAAGAGACATAGAGCTTCTTCAGGATGCAATCGATGTAACAGAACCCAAGAGAATTTGGCGCTGTAGCTATCACCGTTTCAGTACGAACAAATTGTTGCGGAACAACTTGCGGACACCACTGTATGTGTGCGCGAATCGTTGAAGACCTCAGGAGTGCTCTTTTTCTTATTTCTTCCATTCGGGATACTGGAACCATTTGTACGAATGAGGGCACTTTGAAACAAGGTAGAAGATGGTAGATTCGACGATGAGCCTATGCTGCCTAGGATGAACCTGCTATATGGACAAGTAATCATCTCGCATGTTCGACTTCTATAAAAATGAAACGCATCAGCTATATAAACTCTCTCCCGGCATCAATTCGAGCAAGAGTGAGGAGGAAGAGCCACAATAATTTTACCTTCACTCTTTTACTCATGAATGCCAAATGCAGGCAACCTATTTTTAAAGATGTTATTTTCTTTTTTTTAGCTGCTGCTCTATTTGAACAAAGTCAAGATTTTGTTCAGCACCCCTTAAAAAAATTTAGGTGAGAGTACTCGCAACCACTCTGGTCATTCTGAAGTTCTTCCTCATGATCGTTTGGTGCACCCAACTGAACATAAAAATGCATAAATTCTATTTACACAAAAAAAAAAAAAAAAGTCACAGAAAAAAAAAGGAGGGGACGAAGACATACACGGTCTGAGACGCTAAATGCATAATTTGTTCCCTCGTTTTCTTTTGTTTTCTCAAGACAAACAAACATTAGATTGCTTGTTTTCAGAGCATTATGTCAGTACTCACTCTGTTGCTTTTCAGCCAAAGCTGCAATCTCGGCACGCGTGACCTTCTCTGCAGCGCGGGCCTTGGCAGCCTTGATGCTGCTCATCTCTTCTTCGTATATCTGCTTCAGTGCTGCCTTCTTCTCCAGCATTTCCGTCTTCTTCTTGTCTTTCTCTTCCTAGAAGACGTACGTCCAGTGGGGACAAGGTTCTTTGGTTACCCAATGGTCAGAACACTTTGCTGTCCCTCTGCCAGAGAGCTTCACCTAGTGACTACTAAGCAAGCAACTACATAGCACAGCAAATGCCACGGTGGCAAACGGCACTAACAGCAGCAGTGAAACAACCCATCAATTATTTTTATTTTGTTGGTAGGCCCACAGCATTATTTGAACCACTATTGCAACTGATAATGCTGCAAACATGTTCTGAGGAACATTTTTGCAACATCTTCCCTCGGACATCAGATAATTGAGAAATCTTGCATTTAATGACAAGTCAATCACTCGTATTGAGCTTGCCTCGTCTTGCCTGCGGTAGCATGCATCAGCATGACCACAAGCAAGCAGTGAGTCAGCTCTATTATCCACCCTAGCCACCATCTGGTCAACCATATTTGAGCATGTTAACCGTATGCATCCTGTGTGCTCACTTTGCACAATAAAGATTGTGACCTGTACTTCTATGCACACAAAAAGCTGCAGCAACATAAATGTCTCAAAATCAATGCTCTGTGGGGCCATTTAATGGCCCGAGTAGTAACAAAGGGACAAATACAGGTGTTTCATTCTAAAGATCTGTGAGAGTAATGTTGACATCCATGCAGCAGAAAGAACCACTCAACGGGAACAAGTGGACACAAAAGTGGAATAGACCAGATAAAAAAATCCCAAAAGGCCGCGTGCAGAGCAATATTGTGGGAACGTCCTGTAAGCTCCTTGCTGCTCCAGCCTCTATTACGTGACACTGAAGAGAGCGAAAGTCCATGAGGGTAGCGTGGTTGCAAGGTCTGCTACAGTCGGTTCTACACAGCCAGTTCCCAGAATCGTTCTGCAACAGGTCTACTGACAGGCTCGGTACCTTGCGCTGCTGTTTGCGGGCAATGTGTTTGTCGTCGTCGATCCACAGGGCATCTTGGGCGGCCCGTTCTTTTTGATGTTTGTCAGCCTGCTTCAGCTCTTCTTTCTTAGCTCTGGCTTCGGCCGATTTTGTGTTGGTTCCGAATTTCTTAGGCATTCTGGCAGGATCGGCGAGTCCTGTCACACAAGGAGAAATGATTATAATGCAATATAATGCTAAGTGACGTAGGCAACTAAATACCTCCGTTACTCCTCCGAGATACGGTTACATTGACTTAGACACACCTCTAAAATATGCATTTAAAATAATAAAGATATTCCATAACAAAATTATATCAGCTGGTTCGGATCTCGGGAGGAATTCAGCCTAGGTTACAGCGAACGCCTTTGTGAGTTTAATGCAGTAAGCGGTTATAAATGGGCATCCTACCTTAAAGCCCTTCCTTGGCTGCAGAAAAAAAAATGTTTTTTCTTTTAAATGTGGTGTCAGAAAGGGTCAGTGGTCATAGAAATGGGGGAAGTAAGCTGCACAGCCGATCATCCTGCAAAATGTTCCACCATCTTTTGTAACTAAATGCTAGATGTACGGCTCTGTAAAAAATCCAGAGCGAATCCAGTAAAATTCGGCTCTTGCATAGAGATCAGTGGGCTCTTGTATGAAACGAGAACGATTAGAGTGGTAGCTTGTGCTACCTAGCGGCAAGCACGTTCGTTGTTTTGTGTTTTAGCTGAATCGCGGACCTGGGCCTCGGCAGCACTCGGCTACAGTGTACTCTAGTACACTGTAGCCGAGTGTCGTCACCGGCGGCCATTGATTGCTAAAGGAAGAACGAGAAGGCCGTCGAATAGCTTGCGTACAAACATTAAAACTGACAGCCCACGCAGTTCTTCTAAATAGATATTTTCATGGTCGAGAGTGACTCCGCTGTAGTGCGGCTTAATGAGGCGAGAGTCACCTAGTGTTACCGCGGAGTCGGTGGCGGTTTCGTTGAGTTGGGTTTAGCAGACGACAAGCTCGAAGTCTTTGCTACGCGGAATGGACTACTTCCAAAACCGACGCGCCCCAACGCGGCGAAATACCGCGCAATGCACTCTGGGAACTAGTTGGCCACTCAGTTTCGGTTTCGACTGAGCTGCTTCATCTCATGCTATCACGCCGCGACCGAACGCGCTGCTTGCGTTTTCGGTTGTCTGACTTTTCACGAACGTACAATACACTCATTCTCGAGCGATACAAAACGAAGACCGGGGCACTTTCCTTGGTTCCCAAAACACCGGATATTGTGCGTGCGTATGCGAACGTAGTAAGTCGTGGCTTAGTCACCTCACCCCACGAGTGCATGTTTGAGCTCAATTTCAATAATCCCGTCTAGTACTAGTGAACTAGAACTGAAATTTGTTCATATGGAGCCTTACACGTATTTTTTTTTTTTTTTTTGCCAAACGTCTGTTTCTTGTTACTTCATTGGGCGAAAAGCAAGCCGCATCCTCACAGGGTATAAAAGTTGAGCCCAGCGTTTACGCATAAACTTTTAAGGAAACGCAATAAATTCGACCTCACTACTGCACAAAATTACTATGATGTCTTCCTCGTGTCATCATATATCTCCCACTAAATTTTATGCTGATAGAAGATTAACTTTTCGCAAACGCTGAGATCGGCTAGCTACGACGGAGGCCCTATAACAAGCGTCCCCTACTCCTCGCTAAGCCTTTTTGCACGAGTTTTTACTGACGCCCAAGATCTGCGCCTGAACGGTGTGTCTGAAATTATATCGGCATACTCAGGCAGAAAGAAAACAAACACATAACACATATTATGGCCATTAGCAACCGTCAAATGCGCTTTCAATTCGTTCGAGCACTTGTGTGAAGAATGTCGCACCGTGCGCCGGACGGGCGTGAACCCCTGTGCGGTGCGCATAGGGGTTCATGCCCGACCGGCGCACTTCCGGCGAACGGTGCGACATTCTTCACACAAGTGCTTGACTTGCTTTCTTAAAACGGTCTGTATGTGCGAATTTGCCCATATGATTGCAGGATAACTCTGCGCATACGCGATGTTGAATATTAGTGGAAAGCAAGCGGGTGGGGGCTTCACTTCGTGCAGTGCTGCGGGTCAGTAAGAGATAAGAAGTGTGTTAAAATTGAGCTTTTCAGTGGCGCCTCCGAGGTTTACCTCACATACTCAGGCATATTAAGAAAAACAGTAATTGCAAAAGGTAATATTTTGTCTATGGACGCAAAAAGCAAACAAACTTCCTGATCAACAACACTAATGTAAAGGCGCGAGCTCGGTGTATGCGTACTAATTGGTTGCTACAGCTTGTTGATTCGTACACAAGCAAGATCCCCGAGCTTCGCAGCGTAGAGATTCCCAGCACTGGCTCGTCCACATACCTCGATAGGAACGCTAACAGGAAGGCTCAAGTACAAAAATACAACAAGCATGTGTTAAGACAAGCTGTACGTCTCAGGCTTGTGCTAAAGCTTCGAGGTCTGGCAATTTAGGTTAGCTTAGAGACCACAAATGACGCTCTCGGGACCAGAAAACGATCTCTTGTTGATGTGTCGATCGAAACCGAAACCATGCCACCCTCCTCCCTGGCCAACTAGTTCCCAGAGTGCAACGCGCGCCGTGTTGCATGCAGGGCTTTATGGAAGTAGTCTATTCGCCCACTCCTGAAAAGCCACTGTGGAGATGGAACTTCTTTGTCATTCGTCAACTTCTGGGCTTCCCCGGGGACGGTCTCATTGACGACAAATTCCCTTGTTTACACACCGAGAGCAAGCTTTCCAGCTCAGCCGTAGGTGCTCCGGCACGTTTGATTTTGTTAATCGGCGTTCGAACATTTGAAAAATACCGATTCGATCTCCAAACACCCGACATAAGGATCGCAGCACACCATAAAACACTCGCCTCCGAGCACAGCGTACATGCTTTTGTGCGTTACTCCGATAGACTTGCGTGTGACGTCATTTAAAGAGCGCTCCGACATATGCGCTCCGATGACCACCAGAGACGAGAGAAAGAAGGAGCTCCCCTCTTATCAGGACCCCCTTTTGTGCCACCCGGATTTGCACAGGAGCCCGTCACTCAAAATTCTTACAAAAGCAGCTTTCTCTCCTTCTCTTACATGGTGGTCAAAAGTAGGGGTGTCGCGAACCGGCCGAGGTTCGAGTTCGACCAGGTTCGACTTTTTCCGACCAGGTTCGACTTTTTCGATTTTTTAGTGAAAATTTCGACGAACCTTGTATTGAGGTTCGACACCAACTCATGTTTACAAACAAACCGGAGCGCCCCTAGCGGACGCCACCGGCGCCGCGCATGCGCGATGGGGGTGTGGGCAAAAAGCTCGCCGTCGCCCATAAACAAACCATTGAAATGCGATGTTGTCGGCGTCGGTGTGAGTCCCCCTGCCCTTTTTCGCGTTCGAATTGTTGATTCTACGTCTTCCTGGCGATCTCTGACTACTTGAGCGGCGTCAGCGAAATTACCGAGGCTCGTTACACCGCGAAACTTCGCGTGAATAATGTGACATGTGGCGATTCATTCCGCGTGGACGCCGCAGTATGTACGCTAAGGCCTGATTCGCATTATGAGATTTCGCTCGCAATTTTCAGTCGCGACGCCGTTCGGGCTGCAAAAGCGTGAACCGTAGCTGAGATAGTCGACGTCGATACTGAACATCGCAAGTAGAATCGGACTAAGTCAATTAGGCATAGCAAGTCAGTGATGGTCACTCGTTACAATGATCATCTTCTTGTATTTACTGTTTACATCGAGCCTACTTACCAACCTTCAAACTTAAGTCTTTTGAGGCCTGCACTTACTTCGTATAGCAAGTATCGGGCCAATATTTAATCTTTCCGGCCTCGTCTAAGAGAGCAGACGACAAGCAGAAACGTTTGAGAGAGCAGACGACAGTTCGACCGATCAGGCGGCCGTTTGAGCTTGAAGACGCACTGAACGTAGTCCACAGGTTGTCCGCACAACTTGACAGTTTTCTGGCGTTCATGTTGGAACAAAACAAATAAATCTGATGACCACAAGTGTCCGTGAATTCAACCCAAAGTGCTTCTCGCCCAAGCAGTCATTGTCCGACGGCGTCTGCTTTTCCCTTTTCACGGCACATATCCAGATTCTCGGACGAACCGAGCACGTGAAAACTGACCTTCAAACCTTTCTCGACACTTTTGGTACGGCCCCAGTCGCGGCGTTTTGACGAGAAGTCAGGTTTTTGTCTGGTTCCTTTCAAAACAACGCAGGAATACACGTCTGGCATGGGGACTTCTGCCCACAGCCCCAGACCGGAAGTGCGACCGACGCGCCACCACCGCGCCGTGACGTCACAGACTCCTACGGAGCAGAGTAGCGCAATCCTTTGAACCCCGTGTTTTGCCGACAACATGGCCGACAGAGCGGCTCGGCGCGAGTCACGTGGTACTCAGGGTTCCAGGAGGCGGCCCGCCCTATGGGAGAATACATGGAGATCGATACAACACGGCTGATTAAAAAATGAACGGCGAGTTCACACTTTTCAAAACTAGTCTGTCGTGAAGTTAGTAAAGCACTAAACATTTTGTCAAAGTTTTAATAATATCGGATGCGTGTGCAAATTTTGAGAAGGCAATTTCCAAGGCAATGGCGTTTGAAGCAGACGATTTTTGCTCGCAGCGGAGATGGGCTTTTCGGGTTGGCCGGAGCGGGTCACGTGAATGGTGTGACGTCACCGTGTCGTCTGCTGCATGATGCCGCTCAAGCAATTTTTTAAAAAAAGTCAGGTCCTTGCGGGGCACAAAACTTAGCGCAAATTATTCTAAAATGTTCCATTATTATGTCAAAAACGATTGCCATTCCGTATATTCCCACAATATTGAAGAAACAACGATTTTCTCACGTTCTCCATGCATTTCTGACCGCAGTTGGAACCTCCGGGCGTTCGCCGCTAGTCGCCGAGAGGCGGCGTTCTAGATTGCGCTACTCTGCTCCGAAGGAGCTATAGTGCTCTAGGTTCGACTTGTGTGCGCATGCGCGACAGGCTGGCCAGTCGGCTTCGGATTGGATAATGACGGCTAAGGGATAAATCAAGGGCAGCGCTGATTTGTTATTTCAGTTAGTAGTGTATAAACAATTAAGTTATTAACTTCTTCAGTGATTAGAACTGATTTCTTTTATTTGCAACTGTCAATAAAAAAAAATAACCCTTTGCATAAAAAAAAATTCTCCAAACCTAGACATGCTTGTATTAAGGTCTGGCCACACTGTCCACAAACTACAAAGTCGAACCGGTCGAATCTGGTGAAAAGTTCGAAGGTTCGTCGAGCCGGTTCGACCCAGTCGAACCCCGAAAGTTCGACCTAAAAATCCGGTTCGACAAAAGTTCGCGACACCCCTAGTCAAAAGGGTCAAAAGTAGGGGTGTCGCGAACCGGCCGAGGTTCGAGTTCGACCAGGTTCGACTTTTTCGACCTTTTAGTGGAAAATTCGACGAACCTTGCATTGAGGTTCGACTCGTGTGCGCATGCGCGACAGGCTGGCCAGTTGGCTTCGGATTGGATGGTAATGGCCACTGATCTCTATTGTAGTAGGCTGGATCGCGGATCGCGGCCTCGGCAGCTGGGGCCGAGTGTCGCCACCGGCGGCCATTGATTGACACCAGCCAATGCATGGGACTCTATGGGAAGAACGAGAAAAAGTGACGTTTTCCCCTGTTTCTAAGCTGCTGTCGGCACTGAAAGTTTTTAAATGCTTTTCGATAAGCCCGTCAAATAGCTTGCGTACAAACATTAAAACTGACAGCCCTCGCAGTTCTTATAAATAAATATTTTGTGGTCGAGAGTGACTCCGCTGTAATGCAGCTCAATGAGGCGAGAGTTACCTAGAGTTACCACGGAGTCGGTGGCGGTTTCGTTGAGCTGGGTTTAGCAGACGACAGACTCGAAGGCTTTGCTGCGCAGAATTCGCTCACTCCCGGAAAGCCGCTGTCGAGATGGAACTTCTTTGTCATTCATTAACTTCTGGGCTTCCCTAAGGACGGTCTTATTGACGGCAAGTCCCTTTGTTTACTCCACTACGAGAGCAAGCTTGCCAGCTCAGCCATAGGTGCTCCGGTACGTTTGATTTTTTCCTTCGGCGACCCGACGTTTGACAAATACCGATTCGATCTCCAAACACTCGACATAAGGATCGCACCGCACCATAAAATACTCGCCTCTCAGCACAGCGTACGTGCTTCAATATTCTTCCTTTTGTGCGTTTCTCCCATAGACTTGCGTGTATTGCCTGGTGTCAAGCAATGGCTGCCGGTGGCGACACCGACGGGGTCCCGATCCGCGATCCAGCCTACTAAAATAGAGATCAGTGGTAATGGCTAAGGGATAAATTAAGGGCAGCGCTGATTTGTTGTTTCACTTAATACAGTACAAAAAATATTAAGTTATTAACCTCTTCAGTGATTAGAATTAGTTTCTTTTAACTGCAACTGTTTATAAAATAAAATAACCCTTTTCTTTAAAAAACATTCTCCAAACCTAGACCTGCTTATATCAAGGTCTGGCCACACTGTCCAGAAAGTCGAACCCATTGAGACAAGGAGGTTAGAAGTACTAGGAGGGGGCACGTTGCAATATTGGTGAAGCCTAGTCATAAAAAGTTTAAACGATTTTGTGCCCAGCGTGACCGCAGGTCTGTCTGGCGATTGGTGCGCGTGACATGTCACGTGCGAGATGGATGGTTGATTGTAGGAAGATTCCTTGCAGGCTTGCGCGCGCTCCGTCCGGTAGGTTTTATCAGATCGAAGGCTAGACGAAGGCTAGCTACGGTCACGTGATGTGGTGAGAGTAAGGAGGAAAATGAGAAAGAGGCGAGGCGTCAAGAGAGCATGGCTTGTGGAGGCTACGCGGCTGACGTCATGCCCTCTCCTACCCTTCTATTCTCCATGCATTGAGACCAGTGGTCGAACCGGTCGAATCGGGGAAAAGGTCGAAGGTTCGTCGAACCGGTTCGACCCAGTCGAACCCCGAAAGTTCGACTTAAAAATCTGGTTCGACAAAAGTTCGCGACACCTCTAGTCAAAAGTATGCGATGACGTCGGGCAACCTTTTTGCGGCTCGCTCCGGTTGGATTGGATTGCATATTGCCACCAGACTGATGTCCAGCAAGAAAACTCTTTGCACCCTTTGCTTTGCACCTTGTACAGAGCAACGTTACTAAAACCGTGGTACAGAGTATAAAATTACCAACGAGCTTGAGTCTTACCTTAGAGCGGTAAACCGGAACCCACTGCCTGCAGCGGAAATGGTACCCCCCCGGTTGCCGCCATCTTGCCTGTTTGCCATATTAGTGATCACGTGACGTTAAGATGGCTGCGCCCAAAGGTGGGCCAGATCAGATTGGCCAGATCGCGGTCAGCAGAGGGGCACTCTGGGGCTGCGTTCGAATCTTACTCGAATGGCGCCGAGTTCATCCGGCGGATCAAGTCACGTGACAAGACAGCTGCAGCAACGCTGGACGCGGGTAAGTTTCCGAACGCAACAGGTACGAGAACTTCTTTCAGGAGTGAGCGGAGTGAGATAGAAGCTGCGTTCTATTTACTTGCACCTCCTGCAGCGGTGCAGAAAAGTGTGGGGCGGTGTACTTCCGGTCGTATCTCAATACATATACCGGAAGTAGACTGCCCTACACTTTGCTGCACTGGCACAGGAGGTGCAAGTAAATCGAACACAGCTTCTATCTCACTTTTGGTTGAAGTTATCGTACCCCCTGCGTTCGAAAACCTACCCGCGTCCAGCGTTGCTGCATCTGTCTTGTCACGTGACGTGATCTGCAGGAATAATTCGGCACCATTCGAGTAAGATTCGAACGCAGCCCCAGAGTGCCCATCTGCTGACCCCGATCTGGCCAATCTGATCTGGCGGATCTGGCCCACCTTAGGGCGCAACCATCTTAACGTCACGTGATCACTAATGTGGCAAACAGGCAAGATGGCGGCAACCGGGGGGGTGCCATTTTTGACCGCTGGTTTACCGCTCTAAGTTTACTCAAGCTCGTTGAAAATTACCAAGAAAATAGAAGCAAAAAAAAACAAAACACACAAAAGACTTGTTTTGTATCATCACCAGTACAACGCTAATATATTTACTTGACTTCAGTTGAGATCTGGCCATCTGGCTTCTCTCTAGCCAATCCGCAACTCGAAGCGCGTTTTACATTTTTGAAAGAGGCGACAGGTCGACAGCTCTCGCAGCTCTCGTCGCTGTCGTTAGTTCTACCATAGTTACGTCAGTTACGTCGTGCCCACGCGGTGAATATTGATATTTATGTAAGGCCCTTCACTGCACAAAAAAGCGAGATTCGTAGACATATTAACGGCGTTAGCGCACACGTATGAGGAAGAGAGAAGGGACAGAAAAGAGCGCTTCTCTCTTCCTTCTCTCTTCCTCATACGTGTGCGCTAACGCCGTTAATATGTCTAACTACCAACTAGCCCAGTTATCAACCCTTTTACGAGATTCGTAGATTGGTAAGCCCGCTATCTTTCTCCTTCTTGTTCGTCGGAACTTTCAGCATTTGATTCTACACCTTCACCGCGAGGACGTTTTGTAGGTCTCGTTTTCTACTAGCGAGACGATGCCAACGGACAATGGGTTAAGAGTCAGTTCTGTCAATAGTCAGCTCATTATTCACGGGTGACTGGCCATAGTTGTATTCTGATTATTATCGTGTGTTAACAGCGAGTTCGGGTTGTGCTCATTTCACATCAAGCTCTGATCGCGCCACGGGACAAAGAGATGAGGGGTTCGATCCCCGCCTCTTCCGATTTCGACGCGCACCGACGTTGGCGCCCAGTTCGTCAAACGACTTTTCATCTACAGACTGTCTTGTCGACATTGCGTCCGTTCATCGATAGTTCGTTTAATCGAGACCACGACCTACTGTAATCCTGAGCTGCCAACCATAGGCTGCCGACAGACGGGAGCGACAGCGCGCGGTGTTTAGTACACACGGAATCTGCAGCGTTTCGTAACGCTATGAGTGCATGGCACCACTTAAAGGTCTTTTTGCTTCCTAAGACATCCGCACGTCAATTTGAGGCGCGCAAGTCGCGGCTGCGTTTATATATAGGTAGAATATAGATTTCACATTTAAATATTCTAAGCTTAAATGGTAAAACAAAATGGCTAGGTGGCGTAAGCTACCGCCCGATTCAAAGGGCTCAGCCGTATTCATCCATCCATCCATCCGTTATCTGGTCTTGACCTGTACGCGGAATAGTTCTCCTACCATGATTTCGCCATTGCGCGTGTGAAATATTTTGCCACTAGGGGCACCAGCTGCCGTCATAGTTATTGCCTCGCGCCAGTTGCAGATGTGTGATGTCATCCTGATAACGGGCCGATTCCTCGCGAACTGTTATCACTGGCCACATGACCCGAATCATCTGTATATATTCACTGGTGTCTATAAACAAGACGGTTCTTTGCTTTGCCACGATGGCTTGTCTGACAGATGAAGCGTGGGTCGAACACGCGCATACTTATTAGACAGCTTCAATAGGCGGATCGTTACGGTTCAAGCTCAAGTACAAGTTGTAGAGCTTGAAAACGTAAAAGCACTTCGGTGCTGTAGTACAATCTCTTTCTACCTCCTGGCACCGCCCCCTAGCCCCCTCAACAGCCAGACAGAGACGATTTGATCAACATTGAAAAACTTTTATTGTCCTGCTACGAGCGAAAACGGTTGGTCCCGCCGCTGGCGCCGCCCTGCGGCGAGGTGGACCCCTGCGGAAGGGAAGGAAGAGCGGTAATCAGCTAGTGGCAGAAGTGGCAGGCCGCAGGGAAGGCAGGCTGTGAGCTGCGTGTGGGTCCCAGAAAAAACTTTACCGCACGCCCTCAGCGGTGAAACCAGGCACACCGCCGGCGACACTGGCCCCATAGGGGGCCCTTCTGTCGGCAGGTCAGGATTACAGTAGGTCGTGATCGAGACACTGTGTGACGTTTCACCAAAAGCGGTTTTCCACGCACATCGCCTCGGTCGCCGGCATCCAGTGGATGGATGGATGGACGCTTATGCCTGTACCCTTTATATGATGATGATGATGATGCATGTGGCTTTCCTTTTTGTAACGGGTGATTAGGTATTGACGTTCCAAGCTTGCGGCCTTAGTGCCCATATTAGTCTTTTTTCCTCCACCCATCTTGCAGTCGTCGCTTTGTAGTGTCGACTATCCACCTCTCGGTTCTGACGTTGCATTGGCTTGTGGGTGGATGGAAGCCCAGCGCCTGCTGTAGCATAACTGGTGCCGGCACGGGAGTCGGCGGCATGCTCCGCCCTCCGTCGTGGTTGATCGACCCTTGGTTGCTGTGTGTGCCTCATCATATCATATCTGAGTCAAGCCCAGACAGTGCAGGACCAAGTGGTCGATTGTCTCCTCCTCCCGATCACAGATGCTACACTGGATTGTCTCTATCGAGGGGTCAAACTGCTGTCGATATAGTTGTGTTCGCAGTGCTTCCGCTCAGGCCTTGAACATGAGACGGCTGCCCAAGCTGTTGTCGTAGAAGCTCTCTGATTCTATACTGGGTTTTTGGGCGATGTAGAATTGGAGATGATTTTGAGCCTGCTTCCTTGACCCAGTGTACTGTCTTCGCTTCTTGTACTCGTCGTCTTGCCTCACTGGCCCACTTGGTCACAGATGTCTCGTGGATAGGGTCAGAGAAAAAACCGTACTTGCAAAGATGGTAGACACGCTTCACCCAGCCTGTCTGAATGCAGTTAAAACTGATGTAATCAAACACCCGCCGGGCCCATCGGCTTTTATTCATGTGGAAAATCCGACCACGGTAGCTGAGCTTGCTGGAGGCCTCCGTGCCTCAAATGTCGACCATCCAATGTCTCCTTGTATGGCCTCAATCGCCACATTGCCATGACAGCTCAGCACCTGACAACCGACATCTCTTTGTCTTTGTCCTAACCGGGCATGCGTGTCGGTCGAGATGTAGACGATCGCGCTTGTAAATATGAGGCCGGGCACTGGCATAGCTGTCCCTAACTTCCTAATCATCATGTACTTGTTACAACTCCATTGAATGTGCCGACTTAAGATGTTCTGCCCTCTCTTTACCGCCTTTCAACAATGTGCTTGATGTTCGGCAGAGTAGTCTGGTGCGTTGGTCAGTGTAACTCCCAGGTATCTATACTTTTCTTTATCATCATGACGTCTTCCGTCTGCAGTTTCAGTACTTTGCTGTCAGCGCAGTGCCTGGAGAATTGTACCTCCGCTGACTTCTGGATATTAAAATTGAGTTCAAGCATTGGGAGTTGTTGCCCGCAAATGTTTGCTAGCATATGTAACGTTTTAATGTCACCTGCCATGAGGACAACATCATCTGCGTATGCAAGACCCAGAATAGCCCTGTGCGTCACACATTCATTTTCAATCCGTCAAAGTATGAAACCAAGTCCAGACGTCGGTAGTTGCTCCAGCTCTGCTGTGCACAACATATACAAAAGTGAGAGTGGGCAGCCCTGTTTCAGGTTGGTCTCCACTTTGACGATTGTGGACACCACACCTCCAAACTTTGCTGTAACTACGCCCCCGTTGTAGAGTTTCTGTAGCAAGTCTGTCTGTTCTTCGTGCATGTCAAGTCTCCTGAGGCATTGAAGTAAGGACCGGTGAGGCACGCTGTCACAAGCCTTGGCTACGTCCAAGGAGCAACATATAAAATCCCTGCCTTCTTTCCTGGCTATCTTTATCAGCTGTGTTAGTACAAAACAGGTTCTCCTCCAGTCGCCGATCCTTTCAAAAGCCGTTTTGGAGCTCTGTGAGTTTTCCATTTCCCTCCACCCATGCACACATCCATTCTTTTATCAGATTTGTGTAAATGGCGCTAATCACAGGTAGAGGTCGGTGGTCCTGCAATCACTTCTTGTTGCCTCCTCGTTTTGGCAAAAATACTACCCTACCCCGCATTTAATCGTCTGGAACTGGGCTTCCCGAAATGATGTCGGCGAGGAGGCCTGATAACTGCGTCCTCGTTTCTTCACCCATGCACTTGATTAGTGCTGCAGATATGCCATCTTTGCCCTTTGCTTCTGAACATGTGCAGTCGCTTTGTTGAAGGGAATTTCCGTTACCTCCAATGTCAGGTCTCCCGGCTGTCCAAGTGTTTGTGGATAATCTGGTTTTGTCACTTCGTTTGGTGTCCTTGCTGGTGTCTCTTGTGCTTGAGGCACTATTGGTGTGTGTGGACCTTGTGACCCAAATAGATTGTCAGGTGCTCCTACAGGTGCTCTGCCAAGTCGTGTACCACTTGTACTGCATGGTCCTCCAGAAGCTTTAGCATTGGGTCTATCCTGTCCATCGACCTGACATATCGCCAGAACGTTTCAACAACTGCTCTCCCGCCATCCCGGAACTCTTTTATTTTGACCTGGTTAGCCTC